TCTGTCCTCATTAGTTTTTATGTGGGACAATTAAGTTTTATGGATATCGGTCTGATGTAGTTAGTGCCTCCTGCTGCCACTAGGGGGCGAAAGTACATTATATACAAAGCATTACGCATTTTAAACCTGTTTTAACACACGCTGTTTTAGTGCATTTATTATTGTATTGTGTATCCATGGACGCCATCCATCCATCCATTTTCTTCCCTTTATTCCATTTCTGGGTTAGGGGGTTGGCAGTCACCCAACAACCTTGTAGTTTTCTTTAATAAGCAACACACACGCACACACAGATAAATACACAGAGAGACACACACCTGATGAGCTGCTGCTCATCAGGAAATTATCTGTAAATATATTATTGTTTTGCTTGAAATGTTTCTCAGTTTGGTTCGAAACGTTCCAGAAAAAAACATGTACGAAACAACAGTAACTCCTCTCCTCACAGTGACGGCAGGAGCACCTGGAGGAAACCGGAGCACCTGGAGGAAGCCAGAGCACCTAGTAAGTAAGAAATCTTTATTTATATACCGCCTTTCAAAGACCAGAGTCACAAAGCGGTTTACAATCTGTATTTTTAGGGATTTGTCTCTCACTCCACACAGAGATGGTAGCGGGGTCCCCAGTACAGGAGGCACATGCCAGACCTATTGTACATGTTTTTAGTGGTAGGGGAAACCGGAGCACCCAGAGGAAACATACGCAGACACAGGGAGAACATGCAAACTCCACCCAGAAAGGCCCTGTTCCGACCGGGATTTGAACCCAGGACCTTCTTCCTGAGAGGCGAGAGTGCTATCCACTCCGCCACCTGGAGGAAGCCAGAGCACCTGGAGGAAACCGGAGCATCTGGAGGTAACCGGGAGGAAAATCTACGCAGACACTGTCAGGCCAAATCTGTCAGGAATGAACCAGACAGAGACGGACCGTGGTGCGCCAAACTCTGGAAGTTTATTTAAGTTTCTCTCAAGTTCCAGTGGTTTACTTTGTTTCTTTCTCTCAGACAGAATAAAGGCAGTACACAGTTTATATAGTCATTGTCACGTCACACATAGAAAGACATACGTGTCACACAGAGACAGTGCACATCAAAGTCAAAACATGGATGCACCATCGGAAGAGTCCTTGGAGAGTCTTGCATGTAGGCCATATTGCTATCTAATCCTAACAACACATTATATTTATTTGTTTTTATTTTTAGATTATCTTAATATTGCATCAATGTTTTGGCTTTTTGTGGCTAAATGATTTCTCTGACTGTGGAAACCTCTTGACACACACGCACACACTCACACACACACACACATAGACACACACACTAAGTGAATACTTGTACATATGTGTGTGTTTTAATTACATTGTAGCAGCATTGATCCTGTTGTTGTGGTGCAAAAGGTGAGGAAACGGCAGTTGTCCTAAAGCCATCTGTTTCCGAATGGGCCGGTCATGTGTGTGTGTGTGTGCGTGTGTGATGGGGGTAATGGAGGGAGGGGTATTTTCTCAGTGGGGGGGACAAAAATGGGAGGTTGTGACCCAGTGACCCTGTAGGAGTGGAGATCATCAATCAACTGGAGGCTGGACAGAGCAGCAGGGGGGGAGGAGGGACACACACACACAGAGACACACACCCACCACACGCACACACACACAGAGACACACACACACACACACACACACAGAGACACACACACACACACATGGGATACACACACAGACACACACACACACAGAGACACACACATTCTCAAGTCACCAAATGAACATATTTTTCAGGAATTATCCAGGAATTGTGTCCAGTTTCTCTCTTTCACATGCTAGAGAACAGGTCAGATCCGGTCCACGACTCCCTCAGAGTCTAAGCTCTAAGTGGTTTGCGATTGTTTGTTTTTTAAATCCCAAAAAAACGTAAAGGTTCCTCTCTCTAAAAACAGTTTTTAAAACGAAGGCCTTGTTTGTACAGAGACGCTGCAGAGCAATGAGCAAAAACAACCAGGCTCCTACACAGCGGAGAACTGTGTAGTTGTAGCCTCTGGCCAGTAAGGGGCAGTGGAACAACAGCAGTAGAAGTACTTCCTCAACAACATCCTCCTCAGGCCAAAGACGGGAAAGAACCAACATCCTTCTGTAACAGCAGCAGTGAACATGGACAGAAACTTCTTATGTGGTTTGGTTTGGACCAAGGAGTAGAATTCTCCTCTGTTATTGAAGCACACGTAGCATTAGCACACGTAGCATTAGCTAGAATGAGACACGGGACTAGAATGAGACACAGGACTAGAATGAGACACAGGACTAGAATGAGACTCGGGACTAGAATGAGACAGGACTAGAATGAGACACAGGACTAGAATGAGACTCGGGATTAGAATGAGACAGGACTAGAATGAGACCGGAATAGAATGAGACACGGGACTAGAATGAGACACGGGACTAGAATGAGAGACAGGACTAGAATGAGACACGGGACTAGAATGAGACTCGGGACTAGAATGAGACAGGACTAGAATGAGACAAGAATAGAATGAGACACAGGTCTAGAATGAGACACGGGACTAGAATGAGACACGGGACCAGAATGAGACAAAGCTGCTGCCATAAGCGTCTATTGAACTGTTAATAGCAACAGTTGTTATTTACAATTTATTACATTTTTAGTTTTCATTTACAAAAGGATCATTCCATTTTGTCAAATCTAAATCCTTTGCGGAGCTGCTTGGAGAGCTACTGGTAGCTCCCAAGCCTCAGACCCTGCTGTAGATAGTTCATGTGGTTTCAGACATGTCCTTTCAAAACAGACTCCTGATGGTTTTAGACAGACTCCTGATGAGACAGACTCCTGATGGGACAGACTCCTGATGGTTTTATACAGACTCCTGATGGGACAGACTCCTGAAGGTTTTAGACAGACTCCTGATAGTTTTAGACAGTCTCCTGATGGTTTTGGGACAGACTCCTGATGATTTTAGACAGACTCCTGATGGTTTTAGACAGTCTCCTGATGGTTTTGGGACAGACTCCTGATGATTTTAGACAGACTCCTGATGGCTTTAGACGGACTCCTGGTGGTTTTAGACAGACTCCTGATGAGACAGACTCCTGATGAGACAGACTCCTGATGGGACAGACTCCTGATGGTTTTAGACGCACTCATGGTGGTTTTAGACAGACTCCTGATGGGACAGACTCCTGATGGTTTTGGGACAGACTCCTGATGGTTTTAGACAGTCTCCTTATGGTTTTAGATAGACTCCTGATGGTTTTAGACAGACTCCTGATGGTTTTAGACAGACTCCTGATGAGACAGACTCCTGATGGGACAGACTCCTGATGATTTTAGACAGACTCCTGATAGTTTTAGACAGTCTCCTGATGGTTTTGGGACAGACCCCTGATGATTTTAGACAGACTCCTGATGGGACAGACTCCTGATGGGACAGACTCCTGATGATTTTAGACAGACTCCTGATGGCTTTAGACGGACTCCTGGTGGTTTTAGACAGACTCCTGATGAGACAGACTCCTGATGGGACAGAATCCTGATGGTTTTGGGACAGACTCCTAATGGTTTTAGACAGTCTCCTTATGGTTTTGGGACAGACTCCTGATGGTTTTAGATGGACTCCTGATGGTTTTAGATAGACTCCTGATGGTTTTAGACAGACTCCTGATGAGACAGACTCCTGATGAGACACACTCCTGATGAGACAGACTCCTGATGGTTTTAGACAGACTCCTGATAGTTTTAGACAGTCTTCTGATGGTTTTGGGACAGACTCCTGATGATTTTAGACAGACTCCTGATGGGACAGACTCCTGATGGTTTTAGACAGACTCCTGATGATTTTAGACAGACTCCTGATGGTTTTAGACAGACTCCTGCTGATGGTTTTAGACAGACTCCTGATGAGACAGACTCCTGATGGGACAGACTCCTGATGGTTTTAGACAGACTCCTGATAATTTTAGACAGTCTCCTGATGGTTTTGGGAAAGACTCCTGATGATTTTAGACAGACTCCTGATGGTTTTAGACGGACTCCTGGTGGTTTTAGACAGACTCCTGATGGGACAGACTCCTGATGGTTTTAGACAGACTCCTGATGGTTTTAGACAGACTCCTGCTGATGGTTTTAGACAGACTCCTGATGGTTTAAGACAGACTCCTGATGGTTTTAGACAGACTCCTGATGGTTTTAGACAGACCCCTGATGGTTTTGGGACAGACTCCTGATGGTTTTAGAAAGACTCCTGATGGTTTTAGACAGACTCCTGATGGTTCCTGATGGTTTTAGACAGACTCCTGATGGTTTTGGGACAGACTCCTGATGGTTCCTGATGGTTTTAGACAGACTCCTGATGGTTTTGGGACAGACTCCTGATGGTTTTAGACAGACTCCTGATGGTTCCTGATGGTTTTAGACAGACTCCTGATGGTTCCTGGTGGTTTTAGACAGACTCCTGATAGTTTTAGACAGACTCCTGATGGTTCCTGGTGGTTTTAGACAGACTCCTGATAGTTTTAGACAGTCTCCTGATGGTTTTGGGACAGACTCCTGATGGTTTTAGACAGACTCCTGATGGTTCCTGATGGTTTTAGACAGACTCCTGATAGTTTTAGACAGTCTCCTGATGGTTTTGGGACAGACTCCTGATGGTTTTAGACAGACTCCTGATGGTTTTAGGACAGACTCCTGATGGTTTTAGACGCACTCCTGATGGTTTTAGATGGACTCCTGATGGTTTTAGTTAGACTCCTGATGGTTTTAGACAGACTCCTGATGGTTTTAGATAGACTCCTGATGGTTTTAGACAGACTCCTGATGGTTTTAGACAGACTCCTGATGAGACAGACTCCTGATGAGACAGACTCCTGATGGGACAGACTCCTGATGGTTTTAGACAGACTCCTGATAGTTTTAGACAGTCTTCTGATGGTTTTGGGACAGACTCCTGATGATTTTAGACAGACTTCTGATGGCTTTAGACGGACTCCTGGTGGTTTTAGACAGACTCCTGATGGGACAGACTCCTGATGGTTTTAGACAGACTCCTGCTGATGGTTTTAGACAGACTCCTGATGAGACAGACTCCTGATGAGACAGACTCCTGATGGGACAGACTCCTGATGGTTTTAGATGGACTCCTGATGGTTTTAGTTAGACTCCTGATGGTTTTAGACGCACTCCTGATGGTTTTAGATGGACTCCTGATGGTTTTAGTTAGACTCCTGATGGTTTTAGACAGACTCCTGATGGTTTTAGATAGACTCCTGATGGTTTTAGACAGACTCCTGATGGTTTTAGACAGACTCCTGATGAGACAGACTCCTGATGAGACAGACTCCTGATGGGACAGACTCCTGATGGTTTTAGACAGACTCCTGATGGTTTTGGGACAGACTCCTGATGAGACAGACTCCTGATGAGACAGACTCCTGATGGGACAGACTCCTGATGGTTTTAGACAGTCTTCTGATGGTTTTGGGACAGACTCCTGATGATTTTAGACAGACTTCTGATGGCTTTAGACGGACTCCTGGTGGTTTTAGACAGACTCCTGATGGGACAGACTCCTGATGGTTTTAGACAGACTCCTGCTGATGGTTTTAGACAGACTCCTGATGAGACAGACTCCTGATGGGACAGACTCCTGATGGTTTTAGACAGACTCCTGATAATTTTAGACGGACTCCTGGTGGTTTTAGACAGACTCCTGATGGGACAGACTCCTGATGGTTTTAGACAGACTCCTGATGATTTTAGACAGACTCCTGATGGTTTTAGACAGACTCCTGCTGATGGTTTTAGACAGACTCCTGATGGGACAGACTCCTGATGGTTTTAGACAGACTCCTGATGATTTTAGACAGACTCCTGATGGTTTTAGACAGACTCCTGCTGATGGTTTTAGACAGACTCCTGATGAGACAGACTCCTGATGAGACAGACTCCTGATGGTTTTAGACAGACTCCTGATAATTTTAGACAGTCTCCTGATGGTTTTGGGAAAGACTCCTGATGATTTTAGACAGACTCCTGATGGTTTTAGACGGACTCCTGGTGGTTTTAGACAGACTCCTGATGGGACAGACTCCTGATGGTTTTAGACAGACTCCTGATGGTTTTAGACAGACTCCTGATGGTTTTAGACAGACTCCTGCTGATGATTTTAGACAGACTCCTGATGGTTTAAGACAGACTCCTGATGGTTTTAGACAGACCCCTGATGGTTTTGGGACAGACTCTTGATGGTTTTAGACAGACTCCTGATGGTTTTAGAAAGACTCCTGATGGTTTTAGACAGACTCCTGATGGTTCCTGATGGTTTTAGACAGACTCCTGATGGTTTTGGGACAGACTCCTGATGGTTCATGATGGTTTTAGACAGACTCCTGATGGTTTTGGGACAGACTCCTGATGGTTTTAGACAGACTCCTGATGGTTTTGGGACAGACTCTTGATGGTTTTAGACAGACTCCTGATGGTTCCTGATGGTTTTAGACAGACTCCTGATGGTTCCTGGTGGTTTTAGACAGACTCCTGATAGTTTTAGACAGACTCCTGATGGTTTTAGACAGACTCCTGATGGTTCCTGGTGGTTTTAGACAGACTCCTGATAGTTTTAGACAGTCTCCTGATGGTTTTGGGACAGACTCCTGATGGTTTTAGACAGACTCCTGATGGTTCCTGATGGTTTTAGACAGACTCCTGATGGTTTTGGGACAGACTCCTGATGGTTTTAGACAGTCTCCTGATGGTTTTGGGACAGACTCCTGATGGTTTTAGACAGACTCCTGATGGTTTTAGACAGACTCCTGATGGTTTTAGGACAGACTCCTGATGGTTTTAGACGCACTCCTGGTGGTTTTAGACAGACTCCTGATGGGACAGACTCCTGATGGTTTTAGATGGACTCCTGATGGTTTTAGTTAGACTCCTGATGGTTTTAGACAAACTCCTGATGGTTTTAGACAGACTCCTGATGAGACAGACTCCTGATGGGACAGACTCCTGATGGTTTTAGACAGACTCCTCATAGTTTTAGACAGTCTCCTGATGGTTTTGGGACAGACTCCTGATGATTTTAGACAGACTCCTGATGGTTTTAGACGGACTCCTGGTGGTTTTAGACAGACTCCTGATGGGACAGACTCCTGATGATTTTAGACAGACTCCTGATGATTTTAGACAGACTCCTGATGGTTTTAGACAGACTCCTGCTGATGGTTTTAGACAGACTCCTGATGAGACAGACTCCTGATGGTTTTAGACGGACTCCTGGTGGTTTTAGACAGACTCCTGATGGGACAGACTCCTGATGGTTTTAGACAGACTCCTGCTGATGGTTTTAGACAGACTCCTGATGGTTTTAGACAGACTCCTGATGGTTTTAGACAGACTCCTGATGGTTTTAGACAGACTCCTGATGGTTTTAGAGAGACTCCTGATGGTTTTAGAGAGACTCCTGATGGTTTTAGACAGACTCCTGATGGTTTTAGACAGACTCCTGATGGTTTTTAGACAGACTCCTGATGGATTTAGAGAGACTCCTGGTGGTTTTAGACAAATTCCTGATGGTTTTAGACAGACTCCTGATGGTTTTAGACAGACTCCTGATGGTTTTAGACAGACTCCTGATGGTTTTAGACAGACTCCTGATAGTTTTAGACAGACTCCTGATGGTTTTGGGACAGACTCCTGATGGTGTTTGACACAGACTCCTGATGGTTTTTGGGTCGAGATCTGACTCTGAGACACTGCTCTGGGCTTCGAACAAAGACGTCGCTTTGTTCCTGGGACTTAAACTGAGGAAGAACCAGCTGGATCCAGCCTTTGTCTCATGGTGACTGGGGCCACTGTAGGCGGCACGGTGGCTGAGTGGTTTGCACTCTTTCTTCTCAGCAAGAAGGTCCTGGGTTCCAATCCCCGCCGGAACAGGGCCTTTCTGAGTGGAGTTTGCATGTTCTCCCTGTGTCTGCGTAGATTTTTTTCTGGGTGCTCCGGTTTCCCCTACCACTAAGAACAGGTACAATAGTCTGAATGTAATGAGTGAATGAATAGAATGTGTTTGGTCAGAGGCTTTGATGGTCCAGTGTGTTCTGGTCTCGCTTCATCACCGTGTGGAGAGAATGGACCAATATCTGACTCTCAACTTTGTAAAGTGCTTTGGGTCTTTACCTTGGTCTGTAAAATGTGCTGTATAAATAAACATTACTTATTACTTACTAAGTTCCTGGGCCACTTTCCCACATGGTCCAGGGGGGTCAGAGGTGGGTTTGGTGATGGTGGATCCGGGGGGGTCAGAGGTGGGTTTGGTGATAGTGGGTCCGGGGGGGTCAGAGGGACATACAGCGGCTCCAACTATCTGCTGTTGGAGATAATTGAACCTGTAACTTCTAACGTAGTTTTAAACTCTGGAGGAACTTGGAGCGACGTTGTTGTTGATCCTGCGCACTTCACAGTGATAATTAATTTTAAACATTGCATTTTGGTTGCTCATCCCTGTGGCTTCCTGTTCCACGTTTACCGTGAGTAACAGCAAACGGGGCAACCTGCTTTTAATGTGCGGGCCACTTTACCATGGTGAAATGCCGGGCCACTTTACCACGGTGAAAAACGCTGCGGTAAAGATCAGTCCCAGCAGATCGGTGCCAAGACAGAGGTGAGTCTGACCAATGTTTTTACTCGTCATCCCAGGTCTCATCTGGGCTTGGAGTGGTTCAGTTCAGTCTCATATACTGTATGTTTAGCTTGTCTATATATCTTCTCTAAACTTCTTGCGTTAAAGTGCTTATATACAGTGCTATTGTTAAAGTGCTTATATACAGTGCTATTGTTAAAGCTGCACTAACTGACTTTGGGATTTTGAAGCCGCGGACTCGCTGGCCTCGCTCTTTCTGCTCCCCTCCCCGCACTTACGAAGCTATCGCCCCCCACACACACCCACTGTTGGGACGGAGCTAGCGTGTCCCAATATGGATAATACATGGATATGGATTTGCACGTGGATGGCGTGACCATAGAACGATAGAACCGGGAAGCGCGGAGGAACGAGACTTTCTTTTGGATGGCTGTCTCGCTGTGTAAGCAGTAACCGGTGACGAAGACGAGGAAGCTTCAGGTTAGCTCCGCCGCTTGTTGTGCTAACTCAGCCGTCTATGCTAACGGACCTGTAGATTTCTCACGAAAGTGGGGGCTAGTGGTCCGCTGTGATTGGTCACAATCTGCGACCCGAAACACACTCTCTTCCTTGTTTTATCAAAACTCGATCTAAAATATAATGTCACGCCAGCACAAACCTGCGCTACTTATTCTTCAAAAGGACGTTTATCCCAAAGCACTGCATGGACATGGATAGACTTTAGTAATGAATACGAAAATAAAGTCAGTTAGTGCAACTTTAAAGTGCTTATACACAGTGCTATTGTTAGAGTGCTTATATACAGTGTTATTGTTAAAGTGCTTATATAAAGTGCTATGTGTTAAAGTGCTTATATACAGTGCTATTGTTAAAGTGCTTATATACAGTGCTATTGTTAAAGTGCTTATATAAAGTGCTATGTGTTAAAGTGCTTATATACAGTGCATTTCACTGAGTCGTTTAAAAGTACTGTGTCCATGCTTCAGTCTGTGCCTCTGTCTTCTGCCTCACAGCGAGTGGTGCTTCAGTCTATGCCTCTGTCTTCTGCCTCACAGCGAGTGGTGCTTCAGTCTGTGCTCTGTTTTCTGCCTCACAGCGAGTGGTGCTTCAGTCTGTGCCTCTGTCTTCTGCCTCACAGCGAGTGGTGCTTCAGTCTCTGCTCTGTCTTCTGCCTCACAGCGAGTGGTGCGTCAGTCTGTGCCTCTGTCTTCTGCTCACAGCTAGTGGTAGTGGTGCTTCAGTCTGTGCCTCTGTCTTCTGCCTCACAACGAGTGGTGCTTCAGTCTGTGCTCTGTCTTCTGCCTCACAGCGAGTGGTGCTTCAGTCTGTGCTTCTGTCTTCTACCTCACAGCGAGTGGTGCTTCAGTCTGTGCCTCTGTCTTCTGCCTCACAGCGAGTGGTGCTTCAGTCTGTGCTTCTGTCTTCTGCCTCACAGCGAGTGGTGCTTCAGTCTGTGCCACTCTTTGAATCACCCTTTGACTCACCCTTTGACCCCCCTCCTCCCCCATCCTCCCCCTCCTCTCCCCTCCTCTCCCCTCCTCCAGCCTTCTCTCCCCTCCTCTCCTCCTCTCCCCTCCTCCCCCTCCTCTCCCCTCTCCACCAGCGTCCTCCCCCCTCCTCCAGCCTCCTCTCCCCTCCTCCCCCTCCTCCAGCCTCCCCCTTCCTCCAGGCTCCACTGCAGCCTGTCTTGGTGATCAATGGGGAAGTTCTTGGACCTCAACTATTAATCAGGCCCTATCGGCTATCTGTCTGCCGGGCCAACCAATCACGGCTCTCCGACAGCTGGGAGCATGAAAAATGTGGCCCGGTGGATTGTGGGGGGGGTGAGCCGAGAGGGGGGGAGGGGGAGAGGCAGCTATACCCTACAGTACACTCTGGATTCCTAACATAGGCAGAAGTACTGAGGCTGTATTTAAAGTATTTGGTGATGGAACGATGAAGATAGATCAGACGTATTTCTCCTAATGGACTTTTTGGAGCAGTTTCATCAAAAGTGACATTTTCTTTGAGAAACTGCAAAGTCTGCAAAGACACAGGACGACATTAAACTGTGCAGCAGCAGCTCATTCATTCATTCATTCATTCACTCACTCATTCACACGTCACACGCTGGGTCTTTAAGCTGCAGTATTCTGTTATGTTCAGTATATGTTCCAGGATCCGCCACATGTTTCATCTTTTAGGTTGGAGAAAGAGAAATACAGGTTCAGGAACAGTTCAGAAAGAGCCAAAACTAACAAGAGCCTGAACTATGTGTTTTTGCTCCTGATTTAAGTGTTTTTGCTCCTGATTTCAGTGTTTTTTCTCCTGATATGAAGCTACAGCAAAGCTATACATCTGCTGTGGTCATTAGTCTTCACTTCTTTTCTCCTTCCAGGTAAAGATAAGTTCTTTTGTTCTAATCTAGAAAACGAACGACTGAGGGGAACGTGAGCTGCGTAGGACCGTGTGAGTCAGGTTCTCTTATAAAATTCTGTTTTGTTTCTTCTCTCAAAGCTTTTGTTTCCTTTTATATTTTTAGCATGTTTTGTGACTGTCCTGATGTTTTGTCCTGCTTGTGTTTTGTGTTTATGGACCTCCTCGAAAACGAGACGGCAGATCTCATGAGCGTTCTATTAACAAACTAAACTAGTTTTTACTCCACTGATGATGTGTTGTTGTTTTAGTAAGTTTTTGTAATCTACAGTCTATAGGCAGTTTATTTGTACAGCACAGTGCATACACAAAGTGCTTCACAAAATCCCAGCACCATACATTATAAAAATATACAATAAAAAACAGTACCAACTATAGACTCCAAAGACATCTTTATTTCAGATTTGTTCTTGTTCTGGCTTCTTTAAAAAATTGTTTCATCATTTTCCGAACACCTTTCTCTGACATGTTCTTGTTCTTGTGAATCCAGCTGTTTTGGGCTGTATTTTAGAGCTGTCCATGACTTTGGTCGGACACATCTCAATGACATCAAAAATGCAGAAGAACATGGCTGTATTTGAACCCTACTCCATACTATAGGGTTATACTACTTTACTCCATATACTATACTCCATATAGTATACTTCAAATACTATACTGCTGAGACCCTCTTCGTCTGCTGAGACCCTCTTCTTCTGCTGAGACCTTCTTCTGCTGTGACCCTCTTCTTCTGCTGAGACCCTCTGTCCTGGACTGTAGTGTCTCATCAGGGCTGCTCTGTGTCTCTTGCGCATAATCACCACCATCACACTCATCCATTCACATCTTATTGCCATGATTGGATTACTGCTAATGCTATTACACCAGTCCCCCCCCCCCCCCCCTACATCATGGATTTTTCGTGTAGATCTTATTAGCGTGTGATGGCGAGCAGGTCCCTGGATTTATGAACCCCAGAGTCCTCTCCTTTAATCTCCTGGCCCCTCTGCTCTGGTTCTTTCCTGTGTCCATCCATCCATCATTTCCAGGGCTACACCGGCAGAAGAGAATTAATCCCGCGCTCCCATCTCTCAGAAACCTGTGGACATGAGGAGGAGGTGCGGGAGGAGGCGAAAGATTACTTTTGATAATATTTCTGCAGCGCGTTGTGGGCTGACAGCTGTAATGTATGCAGATGTGTGGAGTCAAAGGGGCTGAGCTCGGTAATATCACGGCACAGATAAGGATCATATGGTCGCGGCCCGTCGCTGCCAACCAGACTTTGTCATCATTTGTTTGTTTATGTAAATGTGTTTTCTGCTGCGGAGGAAGAGGGTGGTGCAGAAATGAACCGATGCCGGATCAGGCTGCGTGGATTTGTCATTTACAGCGTTTTATTTCCTGGTTTCTGGATTGTAATGAGGGATGCAGCGTCTGAGGAAGTCCAGGTGACTTTAGGAAACATTTAGACGGATCCAGAAATACTGAGCACATAATCTCACCTGAAGAGGAAAGACTGGAGATGAAGGATGTGGAATGTGTGACAAAGAGGAGGCTGAAGTTTTACAGTTTATTATTTACTGTAAGAAAGTGTAACATAAAGAGCAGACTTTGTTTTCACTGCAAAAAATGTGAAATATGAGTTAATAAATACTTTAATCAAGTGGCTCTTATTCTAATATGACACATTCTGACTTAAACCCAGATTCTCCAACAGGACAAACACATTCAGTCTGATTTCAAGTTTCTTTATTTCCTCATTCCAAGGGAGACCTTTTATTACTTTCTATATTTCTATCTTTTCAAAACAAGACACTAATTGGCCAAATTTTAGAATATTTAATCACTTTCATCAGTTTAGTTTTTCAACCTAGAAAACTCGTTCTTTCTTTTCTTCCAAAGTGCAATAACTGTGACCGCCTCAGCCTCAGCATCGGGGGCCTGTCCCTGTCCACTCGCCCGGGGCCTGTCCCTGTCTACTCGCCCGGGGCATGTCCCTGTCCACTTGCCCGGGGCCTGTCCCTGTCCACTCGCCCGGGGCCTGTACCTGTCCACTCGCCCGGGGCATGTCCCTGTCCACTCGCCCGGAGCATGTCCCTGTCCACTCACCCGGGGCCTGTCCCTGTCCACTGTTATTGAAGAGGTAAGACTAGAACTGAACAATTCTTTTGATAATCAATAAGTCGGTTTGTTATTCTTGTGATCGATCTGTTGCTTAGATCCTGACGTTTTGTGAATGTGGGATTTTCTTCATAAACATTTGAACAAAACAATGTGATCTTCAAAGACATGACTTCTAACACGTTTGGTTTTTGGTTGTTACAGAATTATTAAACCTTTTCTCACATGTTTATGTCTTTGTGAGGTTCAAAACACAGTGAATCGCTGACTTTATATGAAAAGTATTTCAATAATTGATTAGTTGTGATCAGTGTTGGGAGCAACGTGTGGCAAAAGTCCAAAGATCCAGGTTCAAAATGAGATGATTTTTTTATTTTAAACTTAACGTAAATATGTAGCTCCTGAGTGTCTTTTATTCACAGACACGATAGTTTTGGGTTCAGACCCTTCATCAGACGTCAGGGATGAGTGGCCTTTAAGACCTCTGTCATCACCACATCAGGAGAAGACCGAGGCTGAAGTTGAGGCAGAGAAAAGTACATTTTCCAGATGGACAGACTCCTGTTATTTCGAGTTTGTTGGAGACAAAGGGCTGTTTCCTATTATTACTATTGTTAGTTTTTTAGAATGATCCATTGTTTTGTTTGTTTGTTTGTTTAGATGGATGTGTTTCTGCTGCATTTCTCCCACAGGGATCAATCCAGTATCTATCTATCAAAAAGACTTTACGTGTGATACCAAAAGTTCTACCAACCTCCAAAGCATCATAAGCTACATTTAGTTTGTATATTTATATTTGGTGAAAGTAACTTAAAAGTTAGTTAGTTCAGTAGTAGAGTAATGTTTTATATTTCAAAGATAGTAGTATTGTAATGTAACACTTCACTTTGACATAACAGTAACAAGGAAACCCTAATGTTCAGTGTTAGGTTTTTGAAGTAAATTAAATGACTGTTACACAAGTCTTAATTTTGGTGCAACTTTCTCTGTCTGTCTCCTCCACACACGACCCTTTACTTTACACAGATGCTAAACCAATACGCTGCGGCAGAATCCATTTCCAAGACAAGGGCCTTTAATGAGCGCAGCTTCGAGGCCCTTTTCATTCCCTAAAACAAAATAACCAACAAACAAAAGCTAAAACGCAAATAATTCTCGGTACTTTTCCCCTGAAGGCCATCCCAGCGCCCTACCCCTTCCACAGTCTGCTGACGGGTAGATTAAGGGTCTTGATAGATGCCCCGTCCCTGGATCTGCCCCCCCCCCCCTCCCTTTGGTACATCCATCATGGCCGCCGGTGTAATTGCGAATGCGTAGAGCTGGCACAGGGAGCTCCCATCCATCTCCTTAACAACAAACAGTCAGGAGGACGGATGGCAAGGCACTCTCCAGTTAATCTCCATCTATAACGGGGGAGGGGGGGAATAACAGAAGGGGAGAAGGTAGAGTTGGCTTATGGTATAAACAAAAGGAGATGGCGGCGATAAGAGAGAAGCGATGGGATAGTAGTGTTTGAGTAAAAATGGATTTCCTCCACTTGACGTAACTTCCCCCAAACCTGGGCCTGTTTCTCTGCTTCAGGACGTTCGTTATCACAGGCTGCGCTCGTTTTGGATATTTATAACTTCAAAAGAACATTTATTCTCAGAAACATAAATTAGAATTGGTGTCAAAAGTTGTTGTCTGTAGAGTAAGAGGTCTAAGAATGTAGCGTGGGCAGAGGTGTGTGGACTTTGTCTGTGCTTGGGACTGATACAACTGCAGGGAAATGGTTTACATACATTATATACATAAAAAGTATTGGGTTATTCTGCACCAGAATTGCCTAAAAACATCACAAAACCTTATATTGTCTGTTGTAGAAGAACCCAATACTTTTAATTCTACTAAAAAGACTAAATGAATCATCCTAAACTTTACATGATTGTGCTTTACTTTAGAAGGATTATTATCATCCGTCAGTTTGTTTCCTACTGAAGGAAGAACACATACCACGACATCTGACTGTGCTGTTGGTGAACAAACCGTGTTCACAAAAGATTTAATGAAATGTGGCTGTTTTAAATATATGTAAACTCATGTGGCTCATCTAAATCTATCTTTTCATTTATAATCATCCATCCATCCATCCATTTTCTACCCTTTAATCCATTTCTGGGTCAGGGGGGTGGCAGTCAGAGATGCCACCCAAGTCTCATAGCACCAGCCCCTCACTGACCCTCTGCAGGTGGTGAGTCCACAGGAGGACGGCTGCTCTCTGACTGTGAGCATAGCCTTGATCTTTCAGTGGGGGCTTTGGGCAAAGTGGGGTTAAGTGTCTTGACCCCACTTAACCCCCACCCCATTTATAATCAATTAATTCATATTTGTATCGCCCAAAATCACAGCAGTAGTTTCCTCGGAGGACTTTCAAAGCCGTCTCCAACAAAGATCGGAGAATCAAACACATTGGTCCATGAGGCTCAGAGACTCAGACTGCAGAATGAGGACCGAGGCTGTGGACCCAGGACTGAGGCTGTAGAGCCAGGACTGAGGCTGTAGACCCAGGACTAAGGCTGTAGATCCAGGACTGAGGCTGTAGATCCAGGACTGAGGCTGTAGAACGAGGACTCAGAATGTAGAACGAGTACCGAGGCTGTAGATCCAGGACTCAGACTGTAGAATGAGGACTGAGACTCTAGACCCAGGACTGAGGCTGTAGACCCAGGACTGAGGCTGTAGACCCAGGACTGAGGCTGTAGATCCAGGACTGAGGCTGTAGATCCAGGACTCAGACTGTAGAACGAGGACCGAGGCCACGCAGCTCAGGGCTGAGGCTGTATCCTGTTCTCCAAACCTCACATTTCAGAATCAGCATCTATCTATTTCCAGGGTTAGTAACAGGAAGTCAGAAACTCTATGTTGCAAAGTTATAAAACAGTAAAAATATAAATTATTGCATCTAAAGTGGCTTCTTTAGGTCCTTTACAACAAAATGGCGTCACCCGACCTCTTTTCCTCTCTCTGCGGCGGTGAGAGCTTGTGCTTCCTGGGTTTGATTCCACCTCCAGGTCGTTCTGTGTGGAGTTTGCATGTTCTCTGCGTAGGTTTCCTCCAGATGTTCCGGTTTATCCCACCACCAAAAACATAGGTCTGAATGCAACAAGTGAGTGACTGGTGTTTGGGCTTCGATGCTCAAAGGAAAATTATCTGAACTCTCAATAATAATAACTATTTGTGTGACCTTGGTCTGTAAAATGTGCTATATAAATAAATGTGAATTACTTAGCGACTAAATTAAATGACACACACACCGGTCATAACTTTTTAAGAGTTTTTCCTTGTCGATGCAGGAGGGTCTTGTTGGACAGTTAGTGTCCAACAGAAAGGATTGGTGATGATCAGGACACTTTAGCATTCTACATGTATGGACATTTTCTTCTGTGTGTGCTTTATATTCTTCATGTGTTTTAACTGTTGATTCTCTGATCTGTGTTGGTGATTTCAATGGTTTTGTTAAGTCCTCTGAGATGACTTCTGTTGTGACCTAGGGCTATACAAGAATAAATTGTATTGTATTGTATAACTCGAGTCGGGCACAGTCACCGAGCGCCTCTGGCACATGTGGCTCCTCATAAATCATGGTTACTTCGACGAAAGCAGCGACAACTTGATGATAATAAATTCCCTTTTAAAGCAACAACAAAATGAAGGAAAGTTCTAAATCTGCTCCGTCTGAACAAAGTTAGAGCCAAAACAATCATTCAAAAGTTATGCAAAGTTTGAACAGAAAAGTCTCGAGAAACTTTCTCCGACACTAAAGCAAAGACTGTAAAAGTGCGTTGCCAGTTTGGGGAAGTCTCTCTGAAATAAATCTGAAAACAAAATGGACATGAGTTGCCAGGATTTCTGGAATTTATGAAACCTCCATAAACTTCCCACGAATCCATCTTTAAATCTGGGCTGGAGCTGGGGCTGGAGCTGGGGCTGAGGCTGGAGCTGGGGCTGAGGCTGGAGCTGGGGCTGAGGCTGGGGCCGAGGCTAGGGCTGGGGCCAAGGCTGAGGCTGAGGCTGAGGCTGGGGCTGATGCTGAGGCTGATGCTGAGGCTGGGGCTGGGGCTGAGGCTGGGGCTGGAGTAGAGTTCAGTGAAGTGTCAAAGCCTCAGGATTTAGGACCGTTCAGAGTGTGGGAGAAATGGAAGGAGGGTGTGAAATTTATGTGGACATGACCAGACGACCCGGTAAGAGGAGAGCGGGGGGGGGGGGGGGGGGGGGGGGGGGTGGGGGGGGTGTTTGTGTGGGGTTTTTCAGAGGTCACGGCCGCCATATTCTCCAAAACGGCAAAGTCAGTCAACGGGGCTGGGTGGACCCCCCCAGTGGGCCCCTCCCACTCAGATTAAAAAGCAGATCTTTCTCCCCAATCCCAAAAGTAGAATGTGAGACGAGATTGAACTGTTGCCTCTGGTCCTGGTGGTTTCTACATACAGTGTGAGAACGTTTGTGTGCGCGACAAAGGCCTTTCTCTATCTTTCAACGGGCAATCTATTTATTCATTTATTTTTTGGGTGGGGGTAAAAAAATATTTATATATATAGATATATATATCTATATATATATCTATATTTTAACCCCCACCCAAAAAGTCAATCATTTATTCATTTATTTTTTGGGTGGGGGTAAAATACAGTATATATAGAGATATATATATCTCTATATATATTTTACCCAAAAAACAAATGAATAAATAGATAGACCGATGAAAGAAAAAATAATCCTTGGCAGGTGGGTGTAGAAAGGCGGGTGAAGGGAGACGGGTTCAGGAAGGCGGGTGTAGGGAAGCGGGTGTAGGAAAGGTGGGCGTAGGGAGGTGGGTGTAGGGAGGGTGTATGGAGGCGGGTGTAGGGAGGTGGGTGTACAGCAGGGAGGTGGGTGTAGGGAGGTGGGTGTAGGAAGGCGGGTGTAGGGAGGAGGGTGTAGGGAGGCGGGTGTAGGGAGGCGGGTGTAGGGAGGTGGGTGTAGGGAGGTGAGTGCAGCTCTGACAGCAGTGATGAATGACTGCAGCAGCCTCCTAACGCTGAACAGTCGACAGAAGTGTTTGTTTTGTTGCAGCGACAAAGACAAAGTACACTACAGAAACATCTGGTCGTTCTTGATCTGAGTGAATTCATGTGATTGTAAAATGTGGCGTTATTAGATTAATATTGTCGCATTTACGGCTAACAAACGGCAGCTAGTTTTATTTACTCTGTGTGCTCCCTGTGTCTCTTACTGCCCTGTCTGTGCACTGCGTGCACTGCATGCACTGAAATGTATCCACTGTGGGACGGATAGAGGTTCTTTTATCTTATGTTATTATCACACCCACAAGTGAAATAAATAAATATTATTGTTTACATGTGGTGGAGCTGTAAATTCTATCTTTTGAAGCCAATAATTCCCTTTGACTGACGTGTCCACAATTTGATACAGAAATCAGACAAAAAGATTCTCCAAGTTTAACATCTGCATTTAATTATCTTTACAATCAGATACAGAATATTCAACAAAAGAGAGCTCTTAAAAGCTAATCCATGTCCCTCTCTGGCCCTCGTCTCATCCTGCTGTGTCTCCCCAAGCCAGAGCATATATAAAGAACAGGAAGGAGGGGAGTGTCCTATCAGCCAGCTTCCGGTCTAGGGTCCAGCCTTTTCCTCCGTCTGCCAGACTCCTGATGGAGTGAGGTTGAAAAGTGCAGAAGTCAGCAGGCCAAGACTAGGGGGTTGAAATCCAAACAGGAGAATCCATCTGTTGTCCAGTTGCTGGCACAAGAAGACACCTAAAATAAAATAAGAAGGACTGGCCTCCCACTTAGAGGTTAGCTAGGTCATAAAACACATGGTTTTAGAATGTCACGTATTTATAAATACAACACTTTGTCTTGTGTCTTTCCAGATTGAAGTAAAAAAACAAGAAAAGACTTCATGTTTTTGTCTGATATATTTGTTTGAACAAAACTTCACTGCGGTACTTTATCTTGTACTAATGACAATATTAGTGATGCTAGCAAAGCAGAGCGAACATACACGATGGAGCCAAAAGAACCACTTCACCTAGCACCATGCTAATGCTAAACGATAAGATAAGATAAGATGTAGAAATTTACATGTCACGTTTGGCATGGATAGAAACACTCAGATTGTGTAGAAAGTAAGAAATGTGCAAACAGGACAGGACATATTATGTACAAAAAAGTGGCAATTAGAAAGTGGCAATGAGAAGAAGTGTCAATAGTAGTGCAGGTTTTATCAGTCTTAATACAGTGACTTAAAGTGACTTGTTGTACAGTCTGACAGCGGTGGGGATAAAGGCCCTGCGGTAGTGCCTCTTCTTACACTAAGGGTGCCCCAGTCTTCCACTGAAGGAGCTCCTCAACTCCTCTACAGTCCTGTGCAGTGGGTGGGAGGTGTTGTTCATGATGGAGGTGGCTTTGACTAGCACCCTCCTGTCCCTCACCTCCCCCACAGAGTCCAGGGAGCAGCCCAGAGTGGAGCTGGCCCTCCTGACCAGCTTGTTCAGTCTGCTTCTGTCCCGCTCTGTGCTGCCCGGGGCCCAGCACACGGCAGCATAGTATATGGCAGAGGCTACCACAGAGTCATAAAAAGTCCTGAGCAGAGGCCCGCTCACTGCGAAGGACCTCAGCCTCCTCAGAAGGAAGAGGCGACTTTGGCCCTTGTACAGAGTGTTAGTGTTATAGGACCAGTCCAGTTTATTGTTAATGTGAACACCCAGGTACTTGAAGCTGTCCACTAGCTCAATGTCCTCCCCTGGATGTTCAGCAGCGTGTGGGAAAGTGGTTTTCTCCTGAAGTCAATTACCATCTCCTTGGTCTTACTGGTGTTCAAGCACAAGTGGTTGCGCTTACACCAGTCGACAAAGTCTGTGATAACCAACCGATATTCCAGTTCGTTCCGCTCAGAGACACAGCCCGCGATGGCAGAGTCGTCTGAGAACTTTTGTAGGTGACAGCTGTGTGTGTCGTGTGTGAAGTTTGAAGTGCAGATGGCTGCGCAGCCGCACGTACTGTGGTCAGTCAGAGGTAGTTGATGGTCCATGCAGTGAGGCTGCTGTCCACTCCAGCGTCCTCCATCTTCCCCCGCAGCAGTGCCGACCTGATGGTGTTGAAAGCACTGGAGAAGTCAAAAAACATGACCCTCACAGCGCTCCCGGCGTGCTCCAGGTGGGAGAGCGTCCGCTGCAGTACGTAGATGACGGCGTCCTCTACTCCGATGTTGGGCCTGTAGGCGAACTGCAGCGGGTCCAGGGTGGGGCTGACCACGGAGCGGAGATGGGTGAGGATGAGCCGCTCCATGGTCTTCATCAGGTGGGAGGTCAGTGCAACTGGTCTCTAGTGAGCCGGTTCGTTGACGTTCGCTATTTTAGGAACCGGGATCACACAGGAGGTCTTCCACAGGACAGGGACCTTCTCCAGGCTGAGGCTCAGGTTGTACATGTAGCTGAGTACCTCAGAGAGCTGGTCTGCACAGGTCCTCAGCAGCCTGGGACTGATCCCGTCCGGTCCTGCGGATTTCCTCTGCTTCATTCGCTGAAGCTGACTCCACACCTGGTCCGGTGTGATGGAGAGAGGGGGGGGGCGGGGTGTACTGTCAGATGTGGGGGCTGGAGATTTGGGGGTAGGAGGGCCCAGGGCAGTGTCCACTGGGCGGTGTCCACTAGGCGGTGTCCACTGGGCAGTGTCCACTGGGCGGTGTCCACTGGGCGGTGTCCACTGGGCTGGGGACGTGTGAAGAGGTGGGGGCGGGAGGGGGGGCAGATGGAAAGGGGGGAGGAAGTCACGCTTTGTTACCTTTGAGTTTAGAAACCACAGAAAGAGCAGAGAAGAATGTAACGGCAAGAAAAGTGGATCTGACTTTTGGTTTCACTGAGTTTATGTTTAGATTAAATGTAAATATCCAATTATTTGCAGTAAAATGTCTTCATGAAGTTCGTTTTCTCTTTATTCAAAGAGATGACTTTTTGAACCATTCAATCGCCACTTTTTACATTGTTCTGGATTATTCCCATCGTACATTTCATCCCACGTTTTGTTTTAATTCTTCATCGCTCTCACTTTTATACTTTGGCACCATCTTCCAAACATCTGCCGTCTTCAAATTGGCCTCATTAGCATAGGCCAGCATTAGCATCGGCCTGTGTTAGCATCGGCCCGCGTTTGCATCTGCCCGTGTTAGCATCGGCCCGTGTTAGCATCGGCCCGTGTTAGCATCGGCCCGCATTAGCATCGGCCCACATTAGCATCTGCCTGTGTTAGCATCGGCCCGCATTATCATCGGTCCGTGTTAGATAGATAGATAGATACTTTATTGATCCCCATAGGAGAAATTCAGCATCGGCCTGCTTTAGCATCGGCCCACTTTAGCATCGGCCTGCATTAGCATTGGCCAACGTTAGCACCGGCCCACATTAGCATTGACCCGCATTAGCATTGGCCCGCGTTAGCACCGGCCCACATTAGCACCATGGATCTATTATGATAACTGGATAGGGTATTACTAGCTTGGAGCTGAAGAACTCACGTGCTCGGGGGATTCTTGCGGTACTGCAGACTAAACCAGACTAAATTCATGTGTGCTACCCAGAAATTTTCCTCATAGAACTCAATGCAAGGTCGAATTTTGTGGGGATTTTAGTGTCCCTTGTCATCCTGAACTTTTTTTCTTCTTAAATCCTTCGGTTTTCTTTAAATCCACACTGCCACAAACTCTGCTCGTCTGGCTCTCGCTCTGATGAGCAGCTCTGATTGGTCAGAGCGCGGCCGAGCCTCTCTGTGCGCATGCATGAGAACCCGTGTGAGACCCTCACACGCGTATTTGGCGCAATGCATCATGGGAGATCATCCACTGCGCAGAACCGGGAAGACCAGACGATGCCCAAATACAGGCGAGTTTCCCATGGATCTTTGCGAGTTTCCCATGGATCTTTGCGAGTTCCAGGCGACTTTCGCTAATCTTTCAGCCCCCATGCTGGCACAAAGCGCCACAGAGCACAACCATTCCTTTGAATACGGCACCCTCTTGGATCGCCGGGGCTTGATTAGCACCGGTTCACATTAGCATCGGCCCACATTAGAATCGGCCTGCGTTAGCATCGGCCCATATTAGCATTGGCCCGCTGTCCTGAGGTGTTTTCCCCGAACAGGAGGAAAAGTGATAAAAGTCACAGTTTGTGGCAGATGGGGCTGATAGATTCACTGACAGCTTTAACTCACCGATTACAGAAGAAGATTTATGGTTTTTACCAGGGTTTAAGAGTCTAATACAAACTACAAAGATATCTTTATATTATCCTGAATTTCTCGAGGAGTACATTACTATTACAGCTGAGGTCACCACAGTGAAATGTCACACAGCACAAAAACTACAATAATACAATAATAACAATCGTAATAATAATACTCAATATACAGGGGTCATACGCACGCCTGCGCACACACACACACACACACATACATACACACACACACACACACATGTATGTATTCATAAAAAAATAAAAAAATATTACCAATTTAAGTCGCATAAAACAGGACTTAAAACAGTCTTTAAATGTAGCTTAATAAAGACACACATATTTAATAAAAATCAGTGTTAAATCATTCGGTATGATGTATTATGTGTGTATTATTATATATTATATATTATTGTGTGTATATTATTATATATATTATATATGATTATGTGTTTATTATTATATATATTATATATTATTATGTGTGTATTATTATATATTATGATGCATTATTATATATATATATATATTATATATTATTATGTGTGTATTATTATATATTATTATGTATTATTATATATTATTATGTATTATTATGTGTGCATTATTATATATTATGATGTATCATTATGTGTGTATTATTATATATTATGATGTATTTTCAGTGTGTCTTTTGTCTGATTTCCATAAATAGCTGTAATGAGCGTAAACACATGTTTTAAATGTGAATCCTTTCTTTCTTCCTGTGAACAAAGTGGAAACACGGTCGTTCCGTTCCAGCCCATTGGAGCCGTTTCAAGCCTGTGTTAGCGGCTCAGGGAGGCTCAGGGGTGGGGGGCAGAGAACTGTGATCAGGCCGCTCTGAGAGCAGCCCCCCCGGGGAGAACAAAGGCTCGGACTCGGGAGCTCCGGAAGAACCGCGCGGAGCTCCTCATCCTGCAGCCGCCCGGGCCGGCCTGCTGTTCTGCTCCGGCTCGTGATGATTGAAGTGCGGGGCGGCAGCAGGAGACCGCGGTGTGAATAATTATGATGTTTCTGAAGTGTCATTTACAACACAAGACTGCCGCTTCATACGGACCCTCCTGCGCGGGGAAAGGCCGACCCCTCATTTCGACCCTCGGCTCAAATTAAACTTTGACGCGATAATGGAGCAGTTTTCACACTTTCTCCCCCAAAACAGAACCGCAAATGACACCAGGGAGAGAGGCATTATGGGAAAAGTACAACACAATAAACACTTAGGAGCTGTTGGGGTCTGTAGTTTGTGCGTATTTATGGCCACTTTAGACATCGTTAAACACAAAACTGTTGTGTTTCTTTACATTTCAGGATTTTATTAGAATAATGTTAAATACTGAGGAAGTCCTGACAAACATGACAACAAATATGATGCGAGAAAGAGGTCTAGATAAGTTTATATTTTACTCCTTTTCAAACATGAGCGCATTCATCTAAAATAACATTTTGTCTACATGTTTGAAATAAAAACATACAAAATAATATCAGATGAAACTTAGAATCTTCATCTTTCAGTAGCGTCTTGACTAAAATACCAAACGCTGACGTTACATAAAGTGGATCCTGTAGAGTTCACGTTAGAAAATCATTCTGCTCCAGTCTCTTTACTTAGAGCTTTTGTAGGTTTCATTCACAACATCACCTGTAATAATATCCACACGATCTGCATTGACTCCAGGACTCTGAAACTATCAAACTCCCAGAGCCGTCATTTTGACTGCGCCGGTATAACCAATGGGATTCCTAAAAAATGTTAAGTTTATCGCCAAGTTTATCGCCAAGTTTATACAAAGTAAGTCCTTTACCTTCACTCACTTTATATAAGCGCTAACACTGGTGAATATGACTTGAAATGAAATACAGCAAATTCTAACGGTTAATGCTAACGGCTAAATGCAAACGGCTACAGTAAACAGTGTGTTGCTATGGTAACTAGTACTGGCCTTCTCTAGGGGTTTGCGCCACTCACAGTTTACAACAATAATTTAATCAAAAAAATGACATAGAAATAAACTACATAAATACACAAATAAACTACATAAATATACAAATAAACTACACAAATATACAAATAAACTACATAAAGATACAAATAAACTATACATAAAGATACAGACAAAAGACTAAAAATAACCAAATGCCATTAAACACCGTCAAATCGACTGCTCTGGTTTGTTCTAAGTTAAGTTTTGTGATGTGTGTGTGTGTGTGTGTGTTGTTTGTTTGTGCGTTGTGTGTTTGTTGTGTGTTTTGTGTGTGTGGTTTTATGTATGTGTGTGTGTAAGTGTGTGTGTTGTGTGTGTATGTGTTTGTGTGTGGGTCAAAGCAGTGTCTCTGAGTAATCGTCGCATTGTGGCTGAAACAGGAGAACACAAAGGCCTGACTTCAAACACAAAGATTTACACAAAACAAGATGCTCCTCACTTTGGTTCCTGTGGTTTAAAGTGACGGTGTTTGGAGGAACTCATCCATGTAGACTCTAAATATGAACAGACCTAGTCACGCCTATCTCAGCCGTTCAAACTAATGTGCCACTACTTCTGTGGTCTATGGGCAGCCTCAAAATGGCCGCGGGGGCTGGAAAATGTGAAAAACGCATCTGCGCATGCGTCAGCTGCACAAGCCCATTCATTTAAACGAGTGACTTCTAAAGTCCACAGCGAGTAAACTAGACTGGTCCAAAACTCTCCCCTCAGCATTGACACACATGTGGAACGGAGCTTTGGGCCAAGAGCCAACTTTTGGCCATCCTGTAAAGACGTTTACAAGAGGTAAGAAGATGCTATATGTTAGCATTGGCTAATTCTTATTCCGGGTCCACCCCCACAGGCCCGGGGTGGTATTTGCAAGCATGTCAGCGCACATCATTTTGGCCACTTTTGAGCCAGGACTTGCCCCACTGTACTCATCACAACCATCTACGAAGAACAAAGACCCAGACTTTAGCAAAAGTTACTTACACAGAATGATGTGTTAATGTTGGTCCCAAAACAACTGCGACTGCTTCATCTCCCACTGTGTAACTGCGACTGCATCATCTCCACTGTGTAGCTGCGACTGCATCATCTCCACTGTGTAGCTGCGACTGCATCATTTCCACTGTGTAACTGCGACTGCATCATCTCTCACTGTGCAACTGCGACTGCATCATCTCTCACTGTGCAACTGCGACTGCATCATCTCCCACTGTGTAACTGCGACTGCATCATCCCCCACTGTGCAACTGCGACTGCATCATCCCCCACTGTGCAACTGCGACTGCATCATCTCCCACTGTGTAACTGCGACTGCATCATCCCCCACTGTGCAACTGCATCATCTCCCACTGTGTAACTGCGACTGCATCATCTCCACTGTGTAACAGCGACTGCATCATCTCTCATTGTGTAACTGCGACTGCATAATCTCCCACTGCGACTGCATCATCTCCACTGTGTAACTGCGACTGCATAATCTCCCACTGCGACTGCATCATCTCCCACTGTGTAACTGCGACTGCACCCAGGTCTAAACCCAGGTCTAAACCCAGGTCTAAACCCAGGTCTAAACCCAGGTCCAAACCCAGGTCTAAACCCAGGACCCTGTGGTCAGGAAGAGTGTCTGAGGAGAGATGTTTTAGATTCTGGAGCCACTATAACTACAATATATCATAGTAACTGGGACTGGCATTGATTTGGGGTATGTGCATATGATAGAGGGAGGTCACCGTCTCTCCAGCCCGCCCCCTCTCTCTCCCCCTCCTCCCCCCCTCCCCCTCCCTCCCTCAGTGCTCTCTCTGACTCCTTTCCCTGAGCCGCTCACTCACACACGGAGCAGCACATACTGATCACAGCAGAAGGACAGGGAGCGAGAGGAGTCAAAAAGCATCAGCAGCAGCAGCGCACAGAGAGACCCTCCTCTGCCTCTCCTTTGCTCCTCTTTGTGGACTTAGTACCTCCGAGAACCGGACCAGGACTGGACCAAGACTGGACCAGGGGTTTACGGTGAGTCCGAGCCTGAGTCTTGTTTACAGCCATCGCGCTCCCAAAGCTAATCCCTCTAATTGGATGTCTTCGTTATAAGTGTCTAAGTGGCCCTTCAGAGCAGCCCCGGACAGACTATTACCTCCGTAAAGCCTTAATCCTATTGCCTCCTCCCGACACATTGTGATGTGTCGGGAGGAGGCGACTGTTTACGTTCTGCTTTATTCACGCATTTGAGCCTTTCCTCACAAACTTCACTGGGATTTAAGTCTCACAGAAACGAGATTTTTAACTTGCATTATTTCTGTCCAGCTCCAGGAGCAGAGCGGCCACAGCCCGGTGCAGGAGCCGAGAGAAGCATCCCGTCCCCCGCGTTGGATTGGCTGTCGAGGCGCATGGAGAAGAGGGTAAGTGATGTCACACACAACAAGCTGCTGTGGTTTTAATGTTTTCATCTTTTAATGTTTTAATGTTTTATTCTAATGTGAGAGAGACAGAGGTGTTTACGGAGCGCTGAGGCGCACGCGCAGTTGATTGGGTTAGAGCTGAAAGAGAAGGTTTACGTGTTAATGGACACATGGTCTGATGTGGTCAGACAGAGACGGGCAATAACAAGGCCTCACCATGAAGGCACCATGAAGGCAGCATGTAGTCACCATGGAGGCAGCATGAAGGCAGCATGTAGACACCATGGAGGCATCATGTAGTCACCATGGAGGCACCATGAAGGCACAATGAAGGCACCATGGAGACACCATGAAGGCACCATGGAGGCACTATGGAGGCACCATGGAGGCACCATAGAGGCACCATGAAGGCACCGTGGAGCCACCATGGAGCCACCATGGGGGAGCACCGTCAGGAGGATAACACTCAGTTACAGCTGTACTTTCCCTTCACACTAGCAGGTCCAGTTTATATCTTCTCCTTCTCCCCCATCACTGCGGTGACGCGGGGGGTTGCTGTTCTGTTGGAGTTGGGGCGTTGTTGGTTGTTGTTGGGGGGGTGTTGTTGGTTGTTGTTGTTGAGGGGGGGGGGGGGGGGGGGGGGGGGGCAGTGAGCCGTGAGAGCCAGGGTCAGAAGGAGCAGCGCAGGTCGTTAGGAGCAAAGGCGAGTCCGTAAGTAGGTCAGTGTGTTTGCTACAGTGAGTGGCGTGGGGCATGGAGGATGGAGCCGTAGCGCATTCTGGGCCGTGGTTCTGGATTCTTTCTGTTTGGGTCAAAACAAACTGAGCTTTATAGAGTTTAGTGAAAGCGCAAAAATCTGAGAGGATTTTGGAACATTCTGAATAACTGAAAAGTAAAAGTCTCTCTGCTCCGAAGTGAAACTCGACTTTGATCAAAAACGTCTCATAATGTTCAAAAGTGAAACATTTTGGCTCTGGGTTATTACTATACTACTATACAATACTATAGTATACTACTATACTATACTATACTACACTATACTACTATACTATACTATACTATACAGGGCCACAGTAGCTCAGTTGGTAGAGCATTGGCCTTTGAGCCAGAGGGTCGTGGGTTCGAGCCCGACCTTCACCATCGACTCCCACTGTCTGCTGTCGTTGTGTCCTTGGCTGCGGCTGTAAAGTTCCAAACTGCCGTTGTGTCCTTAGGCAAGACACTTCACCCCCATTGCCTAGAATGAGTCTTGTGTGTGTGTGTGTGTGTGAATGGTTGGTGGTGGTGGTGTGTCCCAGGGCAGCTGTGGCTACAGTAGTAGTTCAACACCACCGTGTATGGAGTGAAAGAATAAGGACATGTGAAGCGTCTTTGAGTGTCCAGAAAAAGCGCTATATAAAAACTACAATACTATACTACTGTACTATACTATACTACATTCTTATCTTTTAGACAGAACCTTTGCGGTCACCATGGGTAATTTTACCTACTCAACAGCCCCCATCACCTGTGGTGTGCCGCAAGGTTCTATTTTAGGCCCCATTTTATTTTCTATTTATATGCTCCCCCGTTATGGCCCGTCATAACGTGTCCTTCTACTGCTCTGCGGACGACACACAGATATACAGTGGGGCAAAAAAGTATTTAGTCAGCCACCGATTGTGCAAGTTCTCCCACTTAAAATAATAACAGAGGTCTGTAATTTTCATCATAGGTACACTTCAACTGTTAGAGACAGAATGTGAAAAAAAAATCCAGGAACTCACATTGTAGGATTTTTAAAGAATTTATTTGTACATTATGGTGGAAAATAAATATTTGTTGGCAATAACAGAGATCAAACGATTACTATAGGTCTTTACCAGGTTTGCACACACAGTAGCTGGTATTTTGGCCCATTCCTCCATGCAGATCTTCTCGAGAGCAGTGAACAGACTTTCAACTCCCTCCACAGATTTTCAATGGGGTTGAGGTCTGGAGACTGGCTAGGCCACTCCAGGACTTTCAAATGCTTCTTACGGAGCCACTCCTTCGTTGCCGGGGCGGTATGTTTGGGATCATTGTCATGCTGGAAGACCCAGCCACGTTTCATCTTCAAAGCTCTAACTGATGGAAGGAGGTTTTGGCTCAAAATTTCACGATACATGGCCCCATTCATTCTTTCCTTAACACGGATCAGTCGTCCTGTCCCCTTAGCAGAAAAACATCATAGTTGAAAAACAGCCCCAAAGCATGACGTTTCCACCCCCATGCTTCACAGTATGTATGGTGTTCTTGGGATTTAACTCAGTATCCAAACACGACGAGTTGAGTTTATACCAAACAGTTCTACTTTGGTTTCATCTGACCACACGACATTCTCCCAATCCTCTGCTGTGTCATCCATGTATCATCCATGTATCATCTGGCAAACTTCAGACGGGCCTGGACATGCACTGGCTTCAGCAGGGGGACACGTCTGGCACTGCAGGATTTGATTCCCTGTCGTCGTAGTGTGTTACTGATGGTAACCTTTGTTACTTTGGTCCCAGCTCTCTGCAGGTCATTCACCAGGTCCCCCTGTGTGGTTCTGGGATTTTCGATCACCGTTCTCATTATCATTTTGACCCCACGGGATGAGATCTTGCGATCGAGGGAGATTATCAGTGGTCTTTTATGTCTTCCATTTTCTGATAATTGCTCCCACAGTTGATTTGTTGTAGATTGGCTCTTCCCAGTCTGGTACAGGTCTACAATTCTTTTCCTGGTGTCCTTCGACAGCTCTTTGGTCTTGGCCATAGTGGAGTTTGGAGTCTGACTGTTTGAGGCTGTGGACAGGTGTCTTTTATACAGACGAGTTCAAACAGGTGCCATTAATACGGGTAACGAGTGGAGGACAGAAGAACTTCTTAAAGAAGAAGTTACAGGTCTGTGAGAGCCAGAGATCTTCCTTGTTTGAAGTGACCAAATACTTATTTTCCACCATAATTTACAAATAAATTCGTTAAAAATCCTACAATGTGAATTCCTGGATTTTTTTTTCACATTCTGTCTCTCACAGTTGAAGTGTACCTATGAAGAAAATTACAGACCTGTGTCATTATTATTATGTCATTAATCAGTGGCTGACTAAATACTTTTTTGCCCCACTGTACCTCCCGCTGAGACCAAATGACCCTGGAAGTCTGGCTGCTGTGGTCGACTGTTTTAAAGAGGTGAACAGTTGGATGGCCCAAAACTTTCTACAGCTCAACAGCTGAGAGAAATGAGAAAAGAGTAAAAGTTTTCTGCTAAAGGCGACACATCAGAATCCACTGAACATGAGATTATTATTACTATTTACTTCGTCACATTTGGACATTTCTTTAAATTGATCCAATGTCAAGATTATTTTTAACATTTTCCTTATTTTTTCATCTAAATGTATGTTTGACCCAGGACTGAGGCCGTAGACCCAGGACTGAGGCTGTAGTGTTCTTGGGCTCGCTCTCTTCATAGTTTATATGAAATCTCTGGTTCTTCTTCAGAAAGAAGCAGAGTCTCACTTTGGGAATTAACTCTTTAGATTTAGATCCATTAGAGTCTGTCCTGTTTATATTTATTATATTTATAGATTCATTATATTTATAGATGAATGTGAGGTGGGTTCAGTCCTGGTTCAAACTGATCTGAGACTGTCTCTCCTTTTTACGACTCGGTTAAAATAACACCAGACTCTTTTACACCGAGAGGTACACCCCCTGAGGGAGGGGGGGAGAGAGAGACAGAGTTGAATAATTGTATCATAATAATAATGAAACTTTATTATTGTGTTTGTACAGATGTGTCTCTCCTGCTGGATAGTGTTTATTGTTGTATCATTTCCATCTCTCTCTTTATTACAATAAGTTTATTTAAAATTTAAATGAGTTTATTATAATAATGAATATTATAATGAGTCTTTTCAGATAATTTTTTCATTTAACTCAAAACCGTTCATTTCCATCTGCGTCAGATTATAACTATTATTCTTTTTATTGCTTGTTTTCAGTTAAATTATGGATTAGATCAAAAAGACCAGACCAGACCAGACTCAGGCCAGACCAGAACAGACTAGATCAAACTCAGACCAGACCCCTCTGACCCAGTGTGTGTCGTGTGACATCACTCCTAGTCCTTGTACAGTCTAACACGACCAGACAAATGGTTTGTTTGTTTTAGACGTCGAAGTCGTCGTCACAGCAGAAAATGTTATTAACAAACTGTTTACAAAAACAAATAAGATTTATATGTTTTTGTTCTGTTCTTGAATAACGGAAGTTTTATATCGATGTTCTTTGGCCTCAGTTATGAACAATACTCACTATACTCACTCTTCTCTCATCAGTGACACTGTACCAGTGACACTAGTACCGGTGACACTGTGCCGTTGACACTGTGCCCGTGACGCTGTGCTAAACACGCTGTGTTGCTAAAGCAGAAACTCAAACTGAAACTAAGCTCAAAGTCCTCCACCGCTGCTTCACTCACGCTGCAACCCTCCTCCTCCCCATCTCCTTCCTTCTCCCAGCTCCCACCACAGGGTCTAGGCCCCGGGGTTTTATCTCAAAATCAAGATTTTAATAAATATAATCTGTAAATACCTCAGTCACATGATGACAACAAACACTTCTAATAAATCCTTCTTCTGTTTGTCCGAGTCCCTTCGGTTTGACCTGTGTCTTCTGTGTTTAGTATGAAGACCTGGTGCATTACTCCGGAGCTGAGGGGATGGCTGTGGGGGCCCTGGGGGGGTACGCAGACGACCTCAGAGCCCTCCCCCCTCCACACTACGGAGCCCCCATCCCGGACTCGCTCAAGCACCACAAGGACCAGATCTACGGGTGAGACTCACAGCTTTTACTACTACACTGTCGGGATGAACACAATGCAATATTTATGAAACAGTAACATTTAAGTACCCGAGCTTTTGCATAATAAGCGGTTTAGATACAGACTTTATCCTAAATACAAATATATGATTCACATCCAAGTGATCTACAGCCCCCATTATTCCCCCTATAAAGATAGACGCTAATTTTGTGTATTAAAATGAAGCTAAAGCTAATGGTGCATTCAGACCTCAAACGCTCAAACGCTGAAGCCCCTCTCACCGGACGCGCATTCTCTAGTTTTCAGACGCAGAGGACTTAAACACCAGAACGTCCTGATGCAAGCCGGAAGTACTGGAAGTAACCGGCCGGCTCTGATGCTAACAGAGCTATGCTTGCGGCTTCTTGTGTACAGATCTTCTCCAATACGCAGCTTTGAAGCGTGTCTTTGCACAGAGACTTTCCACGGGCTTTATATAACAGTAGTATGTGTTCACGGAGGTGCGGCATACGTGTTTTCATATTATTAAACGGCATTTCCGCATCGGTGAACACACTCGAAGCAGTTGCATAAGGTCACGGGAGCATGACAACGCATATTTTCACAAGCACAGAGTCCCCCATTGTCAACCCTGGTTTGAGTTCTGGTGAAGCCTGGTGTGGGTCCTGTTTTGGCTGTTTACGAGTATGTTCAGTCTGCTCGCTCAGTCTGCTAATGTCCCCGTGACCACTTTGCGGCTCTCTGATTGGTTGTCGCACGAACGTCCCAAGAAAAGGATGAGCAGAATCCATCTCCTGTGGGCGTCGATTTTTCGCTCCTCATCCTCCCCTTTGACTTTCCCGCCGTCCGTGCGTGTCTACTGGACAGTCCGTGCGTGCGTGCCAAGAGGTCGGTGCGTTGTGATGCTGCAACTCGCGTCACCATAGACTTTGCTATGATGGTCCGGTCTGAACGCGCCATAATGTTGTGTATTAAAATGAAGCTGAGGCTAATATTGTGTATTAAAATGAAGCTAAAGCTAATGTCCTGTATTAAAACAGTGGGGCGGCTGCGGCTGTAAAGTGCCAAACTGCCGTTGTGTCCTTAGGCAAGATACTTCACCCCCATTGCCTAGAATGAGTCTGCTGTGTGTGAATGGTTGGTGGTGGTCGGAGGGGCCGATGGCACATACTGGTTGCCTCGCTTCTGTCAGTGTGCCCCGGGGCAGCTGTGTAGTAGTTTATCACCACCGTGAATGGAGTAAATTAATAATGACATGTAAAGCGTCTTTGAGTGTCCAAAAAAGCGCTATATAAAACCGATGCATTATTATTATTATTATTAAAATGAAGCTAAAGCTAATTTTGTATATCACCATGAAGCTAAAGCTAATGGTTTGTTTGTGCTTGAGCCACTTGTTCTCAGATTTCCTTTCACTTGTTTCTGTAAACTGTGAAAGTTTGTGTATGTCAGACATGTGCGGCTGTCTGAGCTCAAGTTACAGTCGGAAAGTCGATCCTGCTGCCCCCTCTTAATGTCTGCTATGCTGCTATGCTAACTGCTGCCATGCTAACTGCTGCTATGCTAACGGCTGCTATTCTAACTGATGCTATATCCATATATCCAGTCACCAACTTCTCACTGGTGTACAACATTGTTGTGATCCTTTCAACAAATATTGTAATCTTCCAAAATATTTTCAACTTAAAAACACAATAGTTTAAGAAATGTTAGTGAATTTATTTTGCCAAAAGTTAGAAAGTCACCGAGTCAGAGATGTTTGTCGTTTCATGTATATATTGTAAAACTTTACGGTTGCTTGCAGCAGAGCTAGCTCAAATCTGTGGATGGCAACGACCTAGCAACCAAAGAGCCATTCAGGAGCCACGCTGGTCTGTCCCTGGTACAGATCAGATAGAAGGCGCCTGATTGGTTAATAGTTTGGGGACTATGTGGATTTACAAAGACTTTATCAAAAATATAAACACCAGGATAGGGTTTACTTTTGTAAGTGGAAGCAGAAGAACTTTGGCTATTAGCACTTCCTCATTAGCCTTTATAGAGCTAGCATGTTAGCATCGTCCATTCCTATACAGTCTATGCCAGGGGTGCTCAATACGTCGAAGGTAGTATTGGTAGATCGCGTGTCATTAAAAAAAATTGACGCCAGCCTATCATTCAACGCGTCTTTTGACTGATGAACAGGCAGCCAGTCAGATCGTAAAACTCAGCCCCTCGGAGCGCGCACTACAAAATAAAATAGAGGTAATTGACGCTTTATGTACGCTGTGATTGATCTAAAGCTGACCAAAGAAAACAACCACTCAAAGATCTGCTGTGCGTAATGACTACACCATTTACTCAGTCCAAAAACAAACATAACCATAAACAATATATCAGAGTCCTCCCCGCGCCCACCGTAGGCCCCACTTCAAAGCTGGTGACGAGTCCGTGGCTCCGGTGATAGTCCGTGTACTTCAAAAGGCAAATCCAAAACGTAATGAAACAATGAAAGTAATCCAAACGGAACGGGAAAGTATTCCAACTGTGAAAGTAATCCAAAAGTTCAGAGCGGGGCAGAGCGCATTGGGCAAGTGCGCACAGTCTTTCCCTCTCCAGTGTATATTAAATACCTACGCACAGTATCGTACGTGAGCGGCAACCCGGCTCTCCTGCGGGGTTCGTCCCGAGGGTCCGAACAGTCTGCTACATTAATCCTCACACCGATCACCGACTCGAGTCTCTCGTGGTCTCCTTGAGCCGTGTCCAAAACCCAAAGATGTCATCTGACAGCGGCTGTCATTTTTCTGACACTTAGGTCACTGCGCATGCGCAAACACCGGCGCTCAGTGGCGGTAATTCGCTGACAAGCTAGTTTTGCTGCAATTTTCTGCCCTTGTTTGTTTTCTATCAAACCTAAGAAAGGTTATAAAAATGACCTGGGGAGCTGGACCAAGTAAGAAGTCAAAAACTTATCACTTTCATTCGCAATGGGAGGAGGACTATTTTTTCACGATGACATTTTCGAAGTGCGTTTGCCTCATCTGCCAGTCCACCATCGCAATACCAAAGAAGGGAAATGTGGAGCGGCATTTTCGGACTATGCATGGAAAATACGACACTGACTTCCCACCAAAAAGCGAGCTGAGAAAGAGAAAGGTGAAGGAACTAAAATCACAGTTGTCCGGACAGCAGTCATTTTTCACACAACAAACTTCAAGAGCGAAAGCTGCCACCGAAGCATCGTTCCGAGTGAGTCACATCATCGTTAATAAAAAAAAGTCATTCCAAGACGGAGAGATGGTAAAGGAGGCATTCGTTGAAGCAGCTGATTCATTGTTTCGAGACTTTAAAAATAAGGCAGACATATTATCTTCGATCAAAGCTCTCCAGCTGTCAAGAAGTACAGTTACACGGCGCTGTGAAGCCATGGCTGAGGATTTAACCCAGCAACTCTGGAAGGACATCGGAGATTGCGAGTGTTTCTCACTGCAGTTGGACGAATCTACGGACGTGAGTGACACAGCCCAGATGTGCATTTTTATTCGTATGGTGTTTAGTGATATCACTACAAAAGAAGAGCTATTAACAGTACTGCACATGAAAGAACAGACACGAGGAGAGGACATATTTAATTCGTTTAAAAACTTTATGGAGAAAACTCAGCTCCCAGTGTACAAACTGGTGTCTATCACCACGGATGGAGCTCCCGCAATGGTTGGCCGCTTGAATGGATTTATTGCCAAGTGCAGGCAGGACGATGATTTCCCGGACTTCCTAAATTACCATTGCATAATCCACCAACAAGCGTTATGCGCGAAAATGCTCAACATGAAGGAGATCATGGATGTTGCAACAAAGATCGCCTGTTCTATTCGCGCCAGATCTCTTCAAAGACGGTTATTTCGTGCACATCTGGAGAAGGCTGACTGCGACCACTCTGAGTTGTTGCTGCACACTGACGTGAGATGGCTTAGTCGAGGGAAATTCCTGCAACGATTTCGAGAGCTCTGTCCAGAGATAAGGGATTTTTTCCGTGTAGCTGGACATGCAGAATACACGCAACTAAATGACGGTCAGTGGCTGTTAGACTTGGCATTTTTAGCCGATCTGACCAACATGTTTAATGAGCTTAATCTAGAGCTGCAAGGAAAAGACAAAACAGTGATCAATATGATCAGCTCAGTTAGTGCTTTTAAACAAAAAATGCAACATTTTTCCTCAAAGCTGCAGCGCCATGATTTGGAGCTGGAGATGCGCGCTACACAGAGCAGATTGACAATTGTCAGTCAGAGTTTGACAAACGCTTTCAAGACTTTTCTTTGATCGAGCCAGTTGCTACATTCATGTGCTATCCTTTTCGGGAAGATGCTGAGGTTGAATCACTCGCGTCCAAAATTGCAACACTATTTCACTTGAACTTTTCTGGAGTGGAAGAGGAGATTTTGACACTGCAAGCCGACATTGAGCTGAAGTCCAGAGCTCATGGACAGTTCTGGAACTTACTCACAGAGGTGAAGTACCCCAACATCAGGAAATGTGCTACCTCCTTGACTGCATTATTCGGCTCCACTTATTTATGTGAGTCAGCCTTTTCCCACATGAAGATCATTAAGTCCAAGTACCGTTCCACCATGACTGATGAACATTTGGAAGTGTGCTTGAGGCTGGCTGTCAGCAGCTACTGTCCGGACTATGCATCCCTGGCTGATTCAATTCAGTGCAAGTCATCAGAGTAAACTCGGATAATGACAAAAAATGTACATAGTTATTTGTATTGGGTTGTTCTATATTGGCTCATGCGGTTTTGCATGTACATCAACATAAATTGTTGATATAATATCCTCAATACATTTGGAAATAAATTTATGTTTTGCATTTTTGTAGTAGGTAGATCATTTTGACTTGATCAATTTATAAGTAGCTCACATGCTGAAAAAGTGTGAGCACCCTATGCTAGTGTCTATGCTAACACTTCGGGTGTTTCGTTTGCAGTCACCCGCTCTTCCCGCTCCTGGCTCTAGTCTTTGAGAAGTGCGAGCTTGCCACCTGCTCGCCGCGTGACTCCGCCTCCTCGTTCTCAGGCCCCGCCCACATGCCCGTAATGACCAACCACAGTGATGTCTGCTCCTCGGAGTCATTCAACGATGACATCGCCTCCTTTGCTAAACAGGTGAGTGACAGCCGAGCCGGCCAGTCACAGAGCAGGGATTTACATGAAGGGTTTCTTCTCGATTACAGTAGTTTTGTTTGATAAATAAAGTGAATTTTCTCATTTTTCAGCCTAGAAACAGGATTCAATTGTTTCAAGTGTGACTTTTATAAAAACAGCATAAATTCATTTGAAGTGTGACTTTTATAAAAACAGCATACATTTTGTGTCCGTTGTAGATCCGCTCAGAGAAGCCTATTTTCTCCTCCAACCCTGAGCTGGACAACCTGGTAAGACTTTGGATCATATTTAAACTTCCAATAGTGAACTGGACCAGGAACTAGAACTGGACCAGGATCATCATTTTGACTGCTCCCATTTAAACCCAGGACCGTCATTTAGACTGCTTCCATTCAAACCTAGGGAATTCTGAGAAATGAGTTTTCAGGTTTTAGTTTTGTTTTGTTTTTCAGATTTATCAAAAGTAGTTAATTTATAAAGGTTTTACCTTCAATTAGTGGGGAAACCAAGCAGAACCAGTCCAGGACCAGAACCAGTCCAGGACCAGAACCATTCCAAGACCAGAACCATTCCAGGACCATAACCAGTCCAAGACCAGAACCAGTCCAGGACCAGAACCAGTCCAAGACCAGAACCAGTCCAAGACCAGAACCAGTCCAGGACCAGAACCAGTCCAAGACCAGAACCAGTCCAGGATCAGAATCTACAAATAGAAACAGAGAAAAGTCTGGCTTTGATGTTTCTTGGGCAGCACGGTGGCTGAGTGGTTAGCTCTCTGGGTTCTCAGCAAGAAGGTCGTGGGTTCAAATCCCATTTGGAACAGGGCCTTTCTGAGTGGAGTTTGCATGTTCTCCCCGCTCCGGTTTCTCCTACCACTAGAAACATGTACAATAGGTTTGAATGTAATGAATGAACGATTGGAGGGTGTTTGGCTTTGATGGTCCAGTGTGTTCTGGTCTCGCTTCATCACCGTGTGGAGAGAAAGGACCAATATCTGACTTTGAACTTTGTAAAGTGCTTTGGGAGACCTTCTCTTGAATGATTGTGTGTCCTGTTTTCAGATGATTCAGGCCATTCAGGTTTTACGCTTCCACCTCCTGGAACTGGAGAAGGTGAGTGTGTGTGTATGTGTGTTCTCCATCCATCCATCCATTTTCTTCCGCTTCATCCGTTGCCGGGTCACGGGGGCAGCAGTCTAAGCAGAGACGCCCAGACTTCCCTATCCACACACACTTCCTCCAGCTTGTCCGGGGGGACCCCAAGGCGTTCCCAGGCCAGCTGAGAGAGATGGTCCCCACAGCGTGTCCTGGGTCTTCCCCGGGACCTCCACCCGGTGAGACATGCCCGGAACACCTCCCCAGGGAGACGTCCAGGAGGCATCCGGAACAGATGCCCGAGCCACCTCAACTGGTTCCTCTCAACGTGGAGAAGCAGCGGCTCTACTCCGCGCTCCTCCTGTGTGACTGAGCTCCTCACCCTATCTTTAAGGGAGCGCCCAGCCACTCTGCGGAGTAAGCTCATTTCGACCGCTTGTTTTCGCGATCTCGTTCTTTCGGTCACTACCAAAAGCTCATGACCAGAGGTGAGGGAGGGAACGAAGATCGACCGGTAAATCGAGAGCTTTGCCTTTCGGCTCAGCTCCCTCTTTATCACAACGGTCCGATACAGCGACCGCATCACTGGGCACGCTGCACCGATCCGCCTGTCAATCTCGCGCTCCATCCTTCCCTCACTCGTGAACAAGACCCCGAGATACTTGAACTCCTCCACTTGAGGAAGGGCCTCTCCACCCACCCGGAGAGGGCAAGGCACCTTTTTCCGGTCGAGCACCATGGCCTCAGATTTGGAGGTGCTGATTCTCATCCCAGCCGCTTCACACTCGGCTGCAAACCGTCCCAGTGCATGTTGTAGGTCCTGGTTCGTTGGAGCCAACAGGACAACATCGTCTGCAAACAGCAGAGATGAAATCCTGTGGTCTCCGAACCGGACCCCCTCCGACCCCTGGCTGCGCCTAGAAATTCTGTCTATAAAGACAGTGAACAGAACCGGTGACAAAGGGCCAACATGCACCGGGAACAGGTCTGACTTACTGCTGATGCAAACGCAGCTCTGGCTCCGGTCATACAGGGACCGGACGGCCCTCAGCAGAGGACCCCGGACCCCGTACTCCCGGAGAACCCCCCAAAGGACACCCCAGGGAACACGGTCGAACGCCTTCTCCAACTCCACAACGCACATGTGGACAGGTTGGGCGAACTCCCATGAACCCTCGAGTATCCGATGGAGAGTATAGAGCTGCTCCAGTGTTCCGCGTCCGGGATGAAAACCACACTGCTCCTCCTGATCCAGTACCTTGGAGTACACCTTACAGGGGAGGCTGAGGAGTGTGATCCCACGATAATTGGAACACACCCTCCGGTCCCCCTTCTTGTAGAGAGGGACCACCAACCCGGTCTGAGAGGGAGCACCACCCCGGTCTGAGAGGGACAACCCTGGTCTGCCACTCCAATGGCACCGCCCCCGATCGCCACGGGATGTTGCAGAGACGTGTCAGCCAAGACAGTCCTACAACATCCAGAGACTTTAGATTGTCAGGACGGATCTCATCCACTCCCGGCGCCTTGCCACCAGGGAGGCTGCCAACCACCTTGGTGACCTCAGGGAGATGGAAGTATCCGCCCCAACATCCTCAGCCTCTCCCTTTTACGGAGGACGTGACAGGGGGATTGAAGAGAACTTGAAGTATTCCGTCCACCGCCCGACAATATCCCCAGTCGAGGTCAGCAACAGCCCGGGCCCCGGCACGCTTGGTCTGTTGGTACTGGACAGCTGCCTCAGGAGTCCCACGAACCATCATGGTTCGATAGGACTCCTTCAGCCTGACGGCATCCCTTACTACCGGTGTCCACTACCGGGTTCGGGGGGTTGCCGCCGGGACCAGCACCAGAGACCCTGCGACCACAGCTACGAGCTGCCGCATCGGCGATAGAGGAATAGGACATGGTCCACTCATACTCGATATCCCCCTCCTCTGCCGGGACTTGTCCAACAACTGAACACCGCTCGGATTCAGATCAGGGCCGTTCTTCCCCTTCACCCCTCTCCAAGCGTCACTGGCGTCCCCCACACGGGCGTTGAAGTCTCCCAGGAGCATAACAGAGTCCCCGGTTGGTGCACCATCCAGTACCCCTCCCAAGGACTCCAAGAAGGCCTCTTGGAGTACTCTGCACTGCTTTTAGGCCTGTAGGCACAAAATCAGTGAGAGACTTGTCCCCCACCCAGAGGTAGAGGGACGCGACCCTCTCATTCACCGGGGAGAACTCCAACACGTGGCGGCTGAGATGGGGGGCAATGAGTATGGCCACCCCCAGCTCGCCGCCTCTCCCCGCGAGGAACACCAGAAAAGTGGAGCGTCCAACTCCTTTCGATCTGTGTGTCCTCATGTGTGTAAATGTGTGTGTCCTCATGTGTGTATGTGTGTGTCCTCATGTGTGTGTGTATGTGTGTGTGTGTGTGTGTCCTCATGTGTGTAAATGTGTGTGTCCTCATGTGTGTGTGTGTGTGTCTTCATGTGTGTGTTCTTCATGTGTGTGTGTGTGTGTCCTGCAGGTGCACGATCTGTGTGATAACTTCTGTAACCGTTACATAACGTGCCTCAAAGGGAAGATGCCAACGGACCTGGTCCTGGACGAGCGCGAGGGCGGGTCCAAGTCCGACCTGGAGGACTTTGGCTCCTGCACCAACCTCTCGGATCAGTTCAGTCCCAAACCCACACAAAACTCTGATCAGGTCAGTCCCAAGCCCACACAAAACTCTGATCAGGTCAGTCCCAAGCCCACACAAAACTCTCCACATTTTAATATGAATGGACCGACAGCGTTATGTAAAAAACTTATCTCAGTTAAGCCCGCTAAGGGGCTACGCACCTATTCGTAGAACTACAGTTACATTAGGTAACTAAGTATAATACCATACTATAAATAACTTATCCCATATAAATACTCATTAAAGTATAAGAAATGTTGTATGAACTGATCTGTCTGGAAATGGGCAAATGTTCTTGTTCTTTATCTTGAGCTACAGGAGAGTTTTTGTCAGATTTCTACTAAATTGGCTCAAAACAAAGTCAAAAAGTGGTTTAGGAGTTAAAGGAGCAATATGTAAAAATCTGACCAAAAGTGGTACTGCAGTCACAGTCAATATTTTGTAGTCCTCTCCCACTCTCCCTGACTCAGGTTGCCAGATTCACACCAAATCCAGCAGCAAACACAGGGAATTATTTTATCAGTTGTTTGTCCGTCTCCATTCACATGCCATGACAGCCGTGCTAATGCTGAATGAATGTTTTGATTCATGTTTTTTTATTATTATAATTTGGACATTTGAGATAAAAAACAAAAACAAAATAAAAGCAATGTAATTATACATAGTTTATGCAAAATAAATAAGAAATTGATGTCCAAAATAGGAGTGGGAAGAATGGATGTTGGAACGTATTTCTTCAGCGTATCAACATCAGGGTTTGCTCAAGAGGATATCACCTTTCAATTTTATTTATTCCCTATTTTTTAGACAAACATGTAAAAGTCCCACATCAAAAAGAGACTAACATTATTTTAATTGGGGTACATGTGGTCTTAAATGATTATTTTTACAATTAAGCTATAATCTGCAAAAAAACGTCTTGACCTTCATCTTTTACCGTTTTTAGAGCAATCTGTCATAGAATGTGATAACATGCAATAAATACAAAAAAACATAGCCCGGGATCGAACCCAGGTTCCTGGATCGTAAGCGCGCAGCTTAGACCGCTAGGCCACCGGTTCACACGAACAGAGTCACCGTGAAGAACGGAGTCAAACTAGAAAATTCTGCATCACACGTGAACTTTTATCAGCTGTCTCAATTGTTCAAAGGCATCCCGATATAAATCCTCGTTTTAGTCTTTGTTTTGTCATTAATTATTTGAGAGTCATAACAAGACCTTTTTTAGTTCTACGCCACATGTTATTTTACCACTGAGATTAATGAGCCGCGCGGAGTTCTGGCAACCCGATCACGGACTTACATGACACTTCCTGATTGGCGAAACGGCGGAGGGTAGGACATCAAAATCAAAACAATAACAACTTTTACGGGTCGTAAAACTAATTTTGATGATCAAATATCTCGGCTGAACTACTGTTATCAGTTAAAGATGAATTCGAAAAGAGTATGATTTAATAACGCCTTTTGAAATATTCGGGTCATTTAATGATGACTTGACATGCAAATATTACATATTGCTCCTTTAAATAGAAAAATGCAAAAATCACAATACAAAAGCTAGACGCAAGAACATGAGACAAAGAGCACACAAAGGAAACACACAGGGACACACACCAGGACAGAGTGACACACGCAAAGACAGAGTGACACACAAAAACCATTTCCTTTTCTCCTTGAACACCACACTGCATGTTCTCCCCGTGTCTGCGTAGGTTTCCTCCGGGTGCTCCGGTTTCCCCTACCACTAAAAACATGTACAATAGATCTGAATGTAATGAGTGAATGGAGGGTATTTGGTCGGAGGCTTTGATGGTCCAGTGTGTTCTGATCTCGCTTCATCACCGTGTGGAGAGAATGGAACCACACGGTGATGGAAAGGTCTGTACCTTGGTCTGTAAAATGTGCTATATAAATAAACATTACTTACTTACACTCTCCATAGTTCTCTGTGTCCCACATGGTCCTCTCCTGTTACCAGATCATAGTTCTCTGTGTCCCACATGGTCCTCTCCTGTTACCAGACCATAGTTCTCTGTGTCGCACATGGTCCTCTCCTGTTACCAGACCATAGTTCTCTGTGTCCCACATGGTCCTCTCCTGTTTCCAGACCATAGACGACACAAACCTGGCTCTGGGTTAATGGTTTTGTTTTGGCGTGTGCTGGTCCCTGCAGGGGGCCTCATGGTTACGGGAACCAGATGAATGTGCCACGACGCCCCTGGGGACTCCCGGCACCTGCGGCCTGCCCCCCCACAGCAGCGGGGACAACGGCAGCGACACCGGTAAACACCAGCAAGCACTGCACCACTCACCTGGTTTAGTTTAGAGTCACCTGGTTTGGTTTATAGTCACCTGGTTTGGTTTAGAGTCACCTGGTTTGGTTTAGGACTCACCTGGTTTGGTTTAGGATTCACCTGGTTTGTTTTAGGACTCACCTGGTTTGGCCACAGAACCATGAAACCATGAAACCACAGTGACTTCATGGTGTGTCCATAGTTTTCGATCCTTGTGTTGTGTTGTCCTTGATGCTTTATGTCAAATAGACGTGTTTTTTATCCTTGAGCCAAACTGTGGAGAGGCCTAATGTGCTGTTCATGCGAGGCAACCCAGGAATGTACCAGAACTGGAAGATATTCTGGAGGATGAGCAGCTCTACCATCGGAGACCAGAAAGAAGTTCAAACCTCATAACTGTGTAAAACATCTGTAACATCTGTAACAAGATGTTATAGATGTTACAGATGTTGACCATGTGGAGGATGTATTTATGAATGACTGTCTTCTGTTGATGGTTTGAAGGCGATGGTCTGGACGGCGGCGTGGCGTCTCCGAGTACTGGAGACGACGATGACTCCGACAGAGATCGAAGAAACAACAAAAAAAGAGGAATCTTCCCCAAAGTAGCAACAAACATCATGAGGGCGTGGCTCTTCCAGCACCTGTCGGTAAACAACTGTAACACATTTCAAAACAGAACAGAGAGAGAGAACCATGAACCATAAACCATGAACCATGTGACACATGGAATTTAAAAAAAAGATTTGAAAAAGTTAGTCTGAGTTTCTGCCCTAATACAACCTTACAAGCATAACATAAAGTTGTTTACATCTGTACATTATCTCCACAGAATCACACTTATAATAATGACACAGTGAAGCTTCATGAAGCAGTGGAGCTTCATGAAGCAGTGAAACATGAGCGTCCTGACCAGAGCAGGGTGTAGTCCAAAAATCTCTGACTGAGGTTATGATGGAGGTTAATTCCATGGAAATGGTGAGATTAAGAAGATGTGAAAATTGTGCAGGACTCAGGAAGTGGCGGCGGGTGATTAGGTTGCATTAGATTGGTGATTAGTGATGAAATGAGGCGGGTCATATGTTCTGATCCACAATTACAGCATAGAGTCATAGTGAGCTCAGGGACAGAGACCACACTTCTGTCTTTGGTGTTGAAAAATAAATCTTAGGGTTTTTTCTGTGGAAACATGAGCCTCAGGGACTGGCCTCCTGCTGGGACTCTGAGAGCACAGGGACTGGCCTCCTGCTGGGACTCTGAGAGCACAGGGACTGGCCTCCTGCTGGGACTCTGAGGAGCACAGGAACTGGCCTCCTGCTGGGGCTCTGAGGAGCGCAGGGACTGTTCACACTGGGAGAGTCTTGCACAGTTTTATGTGGTTTTACTGAAAATGGCAAAAATAAATTCTTGAATCTTGAAAACAGTCTTCATGAAAATGTGAGACAGGCTCCGACCACCATGAGGATTCTTATTCACATTTATCCATACACTGCACTGCAAAAATAAGTTTAAAAGAACACTAAAATTTGGCTAAATGTTTCTTAATCTGAAACATTTTGCCTTAAAACCAGATTGTGTCACTTGGGTCAAAGTAAATGAGCCCAAAAACTCAGAACTGCAAATGAACAGATTTAATAAAAAGTCAAACAAATGAAAACCCAGAGAAAACACAGGGACCGGGGACAGAACTGAGACAGACGAGGAATAGGAAGTGAAGGAACACACTAACCAGACACAGGTGACACACATGAGGGCGGGGCAACAGAAAACAGGAAGTAACACTAAAGAAGACACAGGTGAGGCACATGGGGGCGGGGCATCAGGAAACAGGAAGTAACACTAAAGAAGACACAGGTGAGATGGTTGGCACTAGATCATATACGGAATCGGGACGAAACCGGAAGTAACAATCCTACTTTCGAATTAGTTTTAGACTAAAAGTCCTTAAGTGGTTAAGTTTTAGGCGTCTGATTAAGATGGTTAAGGTTAGGGTTAAGGGTGGGTTGGGGTTATTTTATGGGAATGGCTGGTAAAGTTTAGGCATGAATAGGTAGTTTGTTAGATTTACTTCTGCTTCCGTCCCGATTCCGTATATGATCTAGTGCTGACCCAGGTGAGACAATGAGGGCGGGGCATCAGGAAACAGGAAGTAACACTAAAGAAGACACAGGTGACACACATGAGGGTGGGGCATCAGGGAACAGGAAGTAACACTAAAGAAGACACTGGCTACTGGATTCGCTGGGTTGGGGTTATTTTATGGGAATGGCTGGTTAAGTTTAGGCATGAATAGATAGTTTGTTATATTTACTTCCGCTTCCGTCCAGATTCCGTGACGTGATCATGGATCTGGACGTGATCTAGTGCTGTGTATGGTCAAACTGAACTTCCGGACGAATCCGGTTTCTGGGACGAATCCGGGAGTGACAGACACAGGTGAGACACATGAGGGCGGGGCATCAGGGAACAGGAAGTAACAGTAAAGAACACACAGGTGAGACACATGAGGGCGGGCATCAGGAAACAGGAAGTAACACTAAACCAACAGAGATTTAACAAACTACAAAATAAAACAGGAAATGAACCTAAACCATGACAGATTTATTGATGGGACAAAGTAAAATGATCTGAAAATGCCTCCTTTGGAATGAGCAGAATCTGGTTTGAGCAAAATGTGTCAGATTAAGATAAAAACACTGGATTTAAACATGAATTTCCTCAGATTTGATAATTTTCTTCCATGTGTTATGGTCGTGTTAGTAACGATCATGTGTTTGTCCCTTCCCAGCATCCGTACCCCTCTGAGGAGCAGAAGAAGCAGCTTGCACAGGACACAGGGCTGACCATCCTCCAGGTCAACAACTGGTCAGTGCCATCAACCATCAATCATCAATAATCAACCATCAATAATCAATCATCAACCATCAATCATCAATCATCAATAATCAATACTAAATCATCTATCATCCATAATCTCAAAGATCAATGTTCAGTTCCAGGTCCAGCTTCAGATTTACACAAACTACGTCCATAAATCACTGAGAAACTTCATTAGAAATGACCCGTTTGTGTTTTTTGTCATGTTCTACCACAGACACGTCCCCCCGTCCCTTCTATCCAAACGCTCTGCTTTAAAACTTGTTCAGCAGTTTCACTTTTTTACCTTTTAAAACATAAATAAAGTCTCCCAGTCTTCAAAACTGCATGCTCTTGTTAGACCACTCCATGTTGGGTTTAGATCCAGCAGCAGAATGTCATTCACACTTCTCCCTCTACATGGAAGAAAAGGAGCATTCCGGTCGACTCATTTCTCATTCTCGTCCATTTTACAATACAATACAATACAATTTATTTTTGTATAGCCCTAGGTCACAACAGAAGTCATCTCAGAGGACTTAACAAAACCATTGACATCACCAACACAGATCAGAGAATCAACAGTTAAAACACATGAAAAATATAAAGCACACACAGAAGAAAATGTCCATACATGTTGTAGAATGCTAAAGTGTCCTGATCATCACCAATCCTTTCTGTTGGACAGTTATATCTGTTGGACACTAACTGTCCAACAAGACCCTCCTGCATCGACAAGGAAAAACTCTTTAAAAACCCAGTGGGAAAAAGTGAGAAACCTTGGGGAGAACTAGGGAAACCCTCAGGGAGGGAGACCCATTTGAGAAAGGGATCCGCTCCTCCGGACGGACAGGCTAATGATCCAGGACCTAAGCTAGCTACAGAACGTGGACCAGTGGCCGCTGAACGTGGACAGGTCCGGTGCAAGACTGAAGCACTCCCAGGCGGGTCGGGCGGGGCAGTCTGCAGGTGTAGATGGAGGAGGCCAGGCTCAGAGATCCCGTCATCGTACCATGTAACAGACAATGGGGCAACGGGTGAATAGCAATGAACCAACTACAGTCAAAATTCTAATAATGCTAAACAAATAAAGTAGGAAGGAGGAGAGGATAGTGCTCAGGTTACCATACTTCTCCCAGCAAACTGACTCCCTATGCAGCTTGACTGACAGTCTGAGGCTTCCCTGAGTCTTACCTTCCTAGCCATATGCTAAATAAAAGAGGACTGTTTTAAACCTAGCCTTGAATAAAGAGAGCGTATCTGGAAGGAGGTGAGGCAGCAGCAGCAGCAGCAGCCACGGCTAGGCTAGCCTAGGTTACAGCACCAAGATTCCTGGATTGCACACCAGGTGTGCAAACCGATCCAGGCAAACCTAATTATATATTATATATCATATATATCACATGTACCATATATATTATATATAATACATAACATAACATACAGCATAATATATAACATAATAACACAATACACAACATGATACATCCATCCATCCATTTTCTGCCCTTTAATCCATTTCTGGGTCAGGGGGGTGGCAGTCAGAGATGCCACCCAAGTCTCATAGCACCAGCCCAACATGATACATATATTGTATAATATATAACATAATATATAACCTAATACAGCATATATATATAATATATACACCATATATTATATACAGTGCCTTGCGAAATTATTCGGCCCCTTGAACCTTTCAACATTTCGCCATATTTCAGGCTTCAAACATAAAAAATAAATTCATAAAAAACATAAAAAAAAATTGTCAAGAATCAACAACAAGTGTGACACAATCGTGAAGTGGAACGAAATTTATTGGATTATTTAAACTTTTTTAACAAATAAAAAACTGAAAAGTGGGCCGTGCAATATTATTTGGCCCCCTTGCGCTAATACTTTGTAGCGCCACCTTTTGCTGCAATTACAGCTGCAAGTCGCTTGGGGTATGTCTCTATCAGTTTTGCACATCGAGAGACTGGAATTCTTCCCCATTCTTCCTTGCAAAACAGCTCGAGCTCAGTGAGGTTGGATGGAGAGCGTTTGTGAACAGCAGTCTTCAGCTCTTTCCACAGATTCTCGATTGGATTCAGGTCTGGACTTTGACTTGGCCATTCTAACACCTGGATACGTCTATTTGTGAACCATTCCATTGTAGATTTGGCTTTATGTTTTGGATCATTGTCCTGTTGGAAGATAAATCTCCGTCCCAGTCTCAGGTCTTTTGCAGACTCCAAAAGGTTTTCTTCCAGAATGGTCCTGTATTTGGCTCCATCCATCTTCCCATCAATTTTAGCCACCTTCCCTGTCCCTGGTGAAGAAAAGCAGGCCTAAACCATGATGCTGCCACCACCATGTTTGACAGTGGGGATGGTGTGTTCAGGGTGATGAGCTGTGTTGCTTTTACGCCAAACATATCGTTTTGCATTGTGGCCAAAAAGTTCGATTTTGGTTTCATCTGACCAGAGCACCTTCTTCCACATGTTTGGTGGCCACAAGCCATTCCAAGGTGGCTTGTGGCAAACTTTAAACAAGACTTTTTATGGATATCTTTGAGAAATGGCTTTCTTCTTGCCACTCTTCCATAAAGGCCAGATTTATGCAGTGCACGACTGATTGTTGTCCTATGGAGAGACTCTCCCACCTCAGCTGTAGTTATCTGCAGTTCATCCAGAGTGATCATGGGCCTCTTGGCTGCATCTCTGATCAGTCTTCTCCTTGTTTGAGATGAAAGTTTGGAGGGACGGCTGGGTCTTGGTAGATTTGCAGTGGTCTGATATTCAATATAATTGATTACACAGTGCTCCTTGAGATGTTTAAAGCTTGGGAAATCTTTTTGTATCCAAATCCAGCTTTAAACTTCTCCACAACAGTATCTCGGACCTGCCTGGTGTGTTCCTTTGTCTTCATGGTTCTCTCTGCGCTTTAAACAGAACCCTGAGACTATCAAAGAGCAGGTGCATTTTTACGGAGACTTGTTTACACACAGGTGCATTCTATTTATCATCATCAGTCATTTAGGATAACATTGGATCATTCAAAGATCCTCACTGAACTTCTGGAGTGAGTTTGCTGCACTGAAAGTAAAGGGGCCGAATAATATTGCACGCCCCACTTTTCAGTTTTCGCAAGGCACTGTATTACGTAATTATATGCTATATTAAAGAAGAGTGCTTTAAGCCTGGCCTTGAATGTGGAGAACGTATCTGCTTCCTTAACATAAATGGGAAGCTGATTCCACAGTAAAGGAGCTTGGTAGCTAAACGCTCTGCCGCCAACAGTGATTTTTGAGACCTTAGGAACCACCAGACGTCTGGCGTTTTGTGAGCGCAACGCTCGACTTGGTTGATATGACACTAACGTGTCTTGGAGATAGGAAGGAGCCAAGCCATTTATGGCTTTATATGTTAAGAGAAGGATTTTAAACTTTATTCTGTACTCCACAGGGAGCCAGTGGAGTGATTTTAACACGGGAGTTATGTGCTCCCTCCTTTTGGTACCTGTTAAGATCCTAGCTGCTGTATTCTGAACGAGCTGGAAGCTCTTCAAAGAAGTTTTAGGGCATGCTGCCAATAAAGCGTTACAGTAGTCAAGTCTTGAGGTGACAAAAGCGTGAATACGTTTTTCCGCGTTACTTTTAGGAAGGAAATTCCTAATTTTAGCAATGTTCCGTAAGTGGAAGTACGCCGTTTTAGTTGCTTGGCTTATATACGCCTTGAAGGGGAGTTCTTGGTCAAAAATTACTCCAAGATTCCTCACAGTGTTACTGGGTATAATACTGACATTATCGAGAGTGATTATCTGGTTAGTAAGGGAGTCACGCAGGCGCTTCGGACCGAGTAGGATCACTTCTGTCTTCTCCGGGTCGAGAAGTAGGAAGTTAAGAGTCATCCACGTTTTAAAGGAATAGTTCACCGTTTTACATACTGACATATGTTCTTACCTTACCTTAGACTAGTTAATACGTACCTGTGTGATCTTAGTCCGTGCGCTCTGTTATGCAAACGGAGCAAAAACGGGAGGACAAATGCAGCCTCCTCTGGTCACTGTGTAGCACCAAAAGGTAGCTCCCGCTAGAAGCTACCAAACTCTTCCAAGTGTTCCCTATTAAATGTATATAGTTACGTGACGTGTTACACTGCAAAGTATAGTAACACAGAAATGTAACTGTCGATTTTCTCAGCGGATAAAACGGGTACTATATTGTGAGGCGTAGTAATCTGAGGTGCGCTACGTCCGCGCACTAACTTCTCTCCGGAGACTTCTCTCTCGCTCACTTCCGTCAATAGAAGCAGCGTGACTTGTAGTACGGAGAGAAGTTAGTGCGCGGACGTAGCGCACCTCAGATTACTACGCCTCACAATATAGTACCCGTTTTATCCGCTGAGAAAATCGACAGTTACATTTCTGTGTTACTATACTTTGCAGTGTAACACGTCACGTAACTATATACATTTAATAGGGAACACTTGGAAGAGTTTGGTAGCTTCTAGCGGGAGCTACCTTTTGGTGCTACACAGTGACCAGAGGAGGCTGCATTTGTCCTCCCGTTTTTGCTCCGTTTGCATAACAGAGCGCACGGACTAAGATCACACAGGTACGTATTAACTAGTCTAAGGTAAGGTAAGAACATATGTCAGTATGTAAAAACGGTGAACTATTCCTTTAAGGTCCTTTATGCAGGCCCTAAGCTTTTCTAGCTGATCTGTCTGATTTGGCTTCATCGACAGATAAAGCTGTGTGTCATCTGCATAGCAGTGGAAATTAATTCCATGCTTTTTAATAATGTTTCTTAACGGCAGCATGTAGAGAGTGAAAAGCATCGGTCCGAGTACCGAACCCTGCGGCACACCGAATTCCACTCCAGAATAAGGCGCCGAGTTCTGATTTACGTTGATGAAGTGATACCGATCTGATAAATGAACCAGCCAAGGACTGTTCCTCTAAGACCTATATCACATTCTAGCCTCTGCAGTAGAATGCTGTGGTCTATTGTGTCAAATGCAGCACTAAGGTCCAGTAGGACCAGCACTGACACTTTATCAGTCCATTATCAGCAGCTAGTAGTAAGTCATTTGTGACTTTGACTAGTGCCGTTTCAGTGCTATGATGAGCTCTGAATCCTGATTGAAAGACTTCAAACATATTATTTTCCTGCAGGTGGCAGCAAAGCTGCTCAGCTATAAGGTTTTCCAGGATTTTAGATATGAAATTGAGGTTCGAGATCGGTCTGTAGTTTGTAAGTATTTCTGGGTCCAGGTTTGTTTTATTCAGAAGGGGTTTGATTACCGCGGTTTTAAAAGCTTGTGGGACATAGCCACATTGTATGGATGCGTTTATTATATTTACGATAGGCTCAATTATCAAAGGAAGTATGTCTTTGAAGAAGCCATTTTGTTTCTACTTCTGACATTCTAAAGAAAACACAAAATAATTCACAATAGTTGTTCTTTAAACTCATTTTGCTTTAAAAGTCTCAGATTTTTTACAATTACAGGATTTTAATAAATTTTACGACAAAAGGAGGAGTGCATTTGTTACATTTTGGTGGAATCCATTTCCCTTCTGCTCAAAACGATGGAAAATCAATGATTCCGATGGATCCATGTTTGTGCTGAAGTTAGTCACTTTGTGCTTTTTATTTAAGTCTTTATTAAAGCAGTTATTATTCCGAAAAAAAGATTTTTACAGATTTTTAACCACAAACAAATGTAACCATGTAGAATACTTTATGTCACTAATTATTCACTCTCAGCTCTAGTTCTCTCATAGTCCTCTCATATTTCTATTCCTCTCATAGTCCTCTCATAGTCCTCTCATAGTCCTCTCATATTTCTATTCCTCTCATAGTCCTCTCATAGTCCTCTCATAGTCCTCCCATAGTCCTCTCATAGTCCTCTCATAGTCCTCCCATAGTCCTCTCATAGTCCTCCTATAGTCCTCTCATAGTCCTCTCATAGTCCTCCTATAGTCCTCTCATAGTCCTCCCATAGTCCTCTCATAGTCATCCTAAAGTCCTCCCATAGTCCTCCCATAGTCCTCTCATAGTCCTCTCATAGTCTTCTCATAGTCCCCCCATAGTCCTCTCATAGTCCTCCCATAGTCCTCTCATAGTCCTCTCATAGTCCTCCCATAGTCCTCTCATAGTCCTCTCATAGTCCTCCCATAGTCTTCTCATAGTCCTCTCATAGTCCTCCCATAGTCATCTCATAGTCCTCCCATAGTCCTCTCATAGTCCTCCCATAGTTCTCTCATAGTCCTCTCATAGTCCTCCTATAGTCCTCTCATAGTCCTCCCATAGTCCTCTCATAGTCCTCCTAAAGTCCTCCCATAGTCCTCCCATAGTCCTCTCATAGTCCTCCCATAGTTCTCTCATAGTCCCCCCATAGTCCTCTCATAGTCCTCCCATAGTCCTCTCATAGTCCTCTCATAGTCCTCCCATAGTCTTCTCATAGTCCTCTCATAGTCCTCCCATAGTCTTCTCATAGTCCTCTCATAGTCCTCCCATAGTCCTCCCATAGTCCTCTCATAGTCCTCCCATAGTCCTCTCATAGTCCTCCCATAGTCTTCTCATAGTTCTCTCATAGTCCTCTCATAGTCCTCTCATAGTTCTAGTTCTTTCATAGTCCTCTCATAGTTTTCCCATAGTCCTCTCATAGTCCTCTCATAGTCCTCCCATATATATATATATATATATATATATATATATATATATATATATATATATATATATATATATATAATATTTTTTCTCACTTTATATTTTTCTGTGTTTCTGAAACAGGTTCATTAACGCCCGGAGGAGGATCGTACAGCCCATGATCGACCAATCAAATCGCTCAGGTTGGTAGTTTACTGTAGTTTACTGTAGTTTTACTGTAGTTTACTGTGGTTAACTGTAGTTTTACTGTAGTTTACTGTAGTTTTGCTGTAGTTCCCTGTAGTTAACTGTAGTTTACTGTATATTTACTGAAGTTTATTGTAGTTTTACTGTAATTTACTGTAGTTCACTGTAGTTTTACTGTAGTTCACTGTAGTTTTACTGTAGTTTTGCTGTAGTTCACTGTAGTTAACTGAAGTTTACTGTAGTTAACTGAAGTTTACTGTAGTTTTACTGTAATTTACTGTAGTTTACTGTAGTTCACTGTAGTTTTACTGTAGTTTTACTGTAGTTTACTAGTTTTACTGTAGTTTACTCTAGTTTTAATGTAGTTCACTGTAGTTTTACTGTAGTTCACTGTATTTTACTGTAGTTCACTGTAGTTTTACCTCTAGTTTTACTGTAGTTAACTGTAGTTTTACTGTAGTCAGATTCAGATTCAGATTCATTTATTTGCCATTTGCAGTAAAACCACATAGGAAAAACTGTGCAAGACTACCCCGGTGTGCACCAGACAGAGAAGACGACACACACCAGAGCTCTTGCCACGGCGCCATCTTTACGGCGCCATGCGACAAAGAGTACAATAAACAGCAGAGAGCAATAACACACAGTTTCACAGACAGTTGGATAGACACATTGTGCTTTGTATAAACCACGGATTTTTTTCTCGGGATGAGCATCTCCGACTGCCGGCCCAATGTGGCTGTCAGAGGGGGGCGGGGTCAGGGAGGGGGTGAGTCGGAAACACAATGAGGAGTGGATAGGAGGGAGGGAAAGATGGATAGGTAGAGGGAGGCGGGGGAATGGGATCCTTGCTGGAGGCTGAAATAGTGTGAGATTGTTGTAGATTGTGGGACCTTGTTATTATGGCCTTGGCCGAGGAATGTGAGATAAGAGTGGAGAGAAGACACAGCAGGAGAAAAACACATCGCCTGAGAGGGACAATATTATATGCAATGTAGCAGTCAAAAACAGGCAGATATTCTATTAAATCCAATTAATCCGAATTACGGCGCCCTCAGACCTCCGTACACAGGGGCAAATCCAAGCCGGGTCAGAGAGTTCAAGCCTGACACACGATGTCATTCAATCTCATCTCCAATGTTTTAATGTTTTATTCCCTTCGAGTGAACGAGCTGCGAGGTCTTTTATCAACTGTTCCACCAAAACCACTCTCCTTTGTCCAGACGCGGCACTCTCAACCACGACTCGGCTACGCTCCTTGTACATCCCATCAATTTTGTTGGCCAGCAGGTCGTGAATCTTGCGAACTGCCATGCCTCCGAATTTGCGATAGAAGAGAACCGCTCCAAACCCAAACAGGAGGATCCCCACCACCAAAATGCCAAAGATATATACATCTTCCGAATCTTCAATAGACAGGGTCGACAGACAGAGGGGCTGAAACTTGTTCCAGCTGTCAAGAGTATACCCCGCCGGTGAAGTCCCGTCCGGGCACACGGGCTCTCCAGACCCACGCTTACGTGTTGAAAAGATAGAATCAATTGCGTTGAGGGACCAGTTAATCATTTCCATTCTTGTTAAAGTTGTCTGTGGCAAAACTCCAGGAAAAAGACAAAAACAGGAGATAGCAGGCAGTCAGAAGCAGGAGCGGTCTGAGACACGTCTTTGCTCAACGGAGGCGGAAGAAGTAGTTTACTGTAGTTCACTGTAGTTTACTGTAGTTTTACTGTAGTCCACTGTATTTTACTGTAGTTAACTGTAGTTTTACTGTAGTTTTCTGTAGTTCACTGTAGTTCACTGTAGTTCACGGTAGTTTTCTGTAGTTTTCTGTAGTTTTACTGTAGTTTTACTGTGGTTTACTGTAGTTTATTGTAGTTTTACTGTTGTTTTATTGTAGTTTTAACTCTCTCATTCTGCTCTCTCCCTCTTGCTCATTCTGGTCTCTCCTCTCCTTGTCTCTGGTCTCTCTCTGGTCTTCCTCTGGTCTCTCTCTGGTCTCTCTCTGGTCTCTCTCTGGTCTTCCTCTGGTCTCTCTCTGGTCTCACTGGTCTCTCCCTCTCTCTGGTCTTCTCTCATTTTCAGACAATGTACTGATCTATCTATAGATGACAGGATCTATAGATACAGTATAAAGGCATCATGAACACATTATTACCTGTGTCTAACTTCTTCTCTGTCCTCAGGTCAGGGAGGTCCATACAGTCCGGAAGGGGCAGCTCTGGGGGGTTACGGCCTGGATGGACAGCCTCATCTGGGGCTCCGAGCAGGTACCAGCTGCACTCTCTCTCTGGTCTCTCTCTGGTCTCACTCTGGTCTCTCTGGTCTCTCTCTGGTCTCTCTCTGGTCTCTCTCTCTGGTTTCTCTCTGGTCTCTCTCTGGTCTCTCTCTCTGGTCTCACATTAAATATGTTTAAAAAATCCTTTTCACATTTACATAAAAAAACACATGAATGAGGTTCTTTCTGTTTGTAAAATGAAGTTAGGAAATCCAGCTTTAATATTTCCATTTAAAATCAACACATTTGTATAATATTTACATGTTAAGTGAAGCCAAATCCCTCAGATCTCTGAAGCTCAGCAGGACAGGGCCTGGTTAGTGCTGTGATGGGAGACCTCTGGGAACAGCAGGTGCCACAGTGGGGCGGCTGCGGCTTCAAAGGGCCAAACTGTGGTTGTGTCCTTAGGCAAGACACTTCCCCCACATTAGAATGAGTCTGGTGTGTGTGTGAATGGTTGGTGGTTGGGAGGGGCCAATGGCACAGACTAACTCCTCCCCCTCTGGTCCCGCAGGTCTTCAGGGCATGTCGTCTCTTCAGGGCGAGTACCCGGGAGGGCTCCTGTCCCAGCCCGGGTACCCCCCACACCCGGGTCCCTCTCTGCACCCGTACCCCGGAGCCCACCCGCACGCCGCCATGCTGTTACACCCGCCTCCACACGCACACCCGGCCGAGCCGCTGCTGGCACAAGGACTGGACATTCATGCGCACTAGCCCCCCCTCGGACTCATGTCTAGGACCCCGAACACTAGACCCTGGACTCATGTCTGGACCCTGGACTCATGTCTGGACCCTGGACTCATGAACGCCTGAGAAAGCACAGACAGACTTTTACAGATATATCCTGTGCTTTACTCGTGCAGAATGAGAGTGAAACAATATTTAAGCAAAAATACACAAAGTTTACATTCCCCACTTTTAAAGACCTCAATGTAGCCTCCTGCTTCACTGCACGGGCCTGACCAGTGGTTCTCAAACTGTGGGCCCTGACTTTCACAGAATTCATAGTTTTTCAAATCAGGTTTTGTTACTATTTGTCAATAAAAAACTGAAAATGAATGGGACAAATTCAACCATTCATAATAACCAAATGTATCTTTTTTGTGAATGTGAAGGTTTTTGGAATTGTTTGAGAACCACTGGTCTGGACTTTCCCTCGGTCCGGACCCACAGGTTTAAGCCATACCTCTTTGACTATAGATGCAAGTGCTTCCTCCTCCACTGTGCCCTGTGGGTTCGACAAATGCTTTAAGACTACTTTCCATCATGCCCCTGGAGACGATGGAGTTTTTTTGCTGGATCTTTGGACCACACTTGAACCTGTGAACACTTTGCCTTCATCGCTACTTCCTGCCTTCATCGCTACTTCCTGCCTTCATCGCTACTTCCTGTCTTCATCGCTTCTTCCTGTCTTCATCGCTACTTCCTGTCTTCCTCGCTACTTCCTGTCTTAATCACTACTTCCTGTCACTCCTGGATTCGTCCCGGAAACCGGATTTGTCCGGAAGTTCAGTTTGATCCATTGATCATACACAGCAGTAGATTGCGTCACGGAATCTGGACGGAAGCGGAAGTAAATATAACAAACTACCTATTCATGCCTAAACTTAACCAGCCATTCCCATAAAATAACCCCAACCCAGCCTTAACCCTAAACTTAACCATCTTACTTAGACACCTAAAACTTAACCAGTCACCACTTAAGGACTTATTAACTGAACTTCCGGACGAATCCGGTTTCTGGGACGGATCCAGTAGCCACACTTCCTGTCTTCCTCGCTACTTCCTGACTTCATTGCTACTTCCTGTCTTCCACGTTACTTCCTCTACGTTTTACTGTTAACGTCCTGATACTGTCCTGAAACCAACACTTGTTTTGGGCCGAGGCGAGACACCGCGAAAGGAAAGACATGTTTTTTCACCAATTTATAAAAATATCCCCAAGACAAGAATGATGCGGTTCTTTAAACTTGGAGAAATGGAACTACAGATTTATCTTTTTAGAAAATCGATTGTATTTTACACAAATAGTCACAAAAGAAATCTGAAAAAATACTTATACTACATACACAATAATACTACATATACAATAATACTACATACACACATTTATTACATATACAAACTCCCTGCAGGCTCCGCTCAGGCAATTTTTAGATATTTTCTGGAGCGTAAAAACGGCTGTGCAATGCTGCCGAAGCGTCTGCTTATCAGAAGTTCAGAAAGAGAATCAAGCTGTGAAAGTGGATTTTGCACGTTATGTCCAAAACAAATAATACAAGGATAGGTCATTGAAAACTTGAAAAAATACATTTTTAAAATATATGTAACAATATAAGTTTTAATTATATGGTGTAAATGTAAATTAAACAATTACATTTAACAATTACGGTGTCTCTCCATGTCTCGCTCGTGTCTCTTCCTTAAGCACTGAATGATGTCCAGCCTTGGCCTCTGACCTCCTGAAGGCCTCACAGACTCAAGCTCGAGCTGGAAAAGCCGTTGGAGTCTAAGTCTGTCTGTGTTTCTCCCTGGGTTGTGTAGCATTTTGCAGTTTGTTCAGTCGGATGGAGAGAGAGGACGCTGAGCTCTCGGCTGCTGCTCCGTCCGACTGCCGCTGAAGCATTTCTGAATGATTATTACGGGAAACAGTTAAAGTATTAAAATGTTTTTATAAAACGCCTGTGTCTTTTTATCCTTTCAGTTTATTCTTGTATTGCTCTAAATCACAGCAGTAGTTTCACAGAGGACTTTACAAAACTGTTGATCTCTGCAGCACAGATCAGAGAATCAGTTCAAAGACAGGAAATGCACTGGTCTATCAGGAGCAGAGACCACTGTCCCATGAATGTCCACACAGAGACCACTGTTCCATGAATGTCCACACAGAGACCACTGTCCCATGAATGTCCACACAGAGACCACTGTCCCATGAATGTCCACACAGAGACCACTGTCACATGAATGTCCACACAGAAACCACTGTCCCATGAATGTCCACACAGAGACCACTGTCCCATGAATGTCCACATGTGGAGGGTCCTGGATCATCTCTGTCCACTGACCCTTGTCCCAGACCCTCCTCCATCAGTGTCTGCCCATGTTGTATATTGTGTATTTTATTCCAGGGAAAAATTTATTAAGATTAAGGTGAAGAGATCCTTTATTTGTTCCACATTTGGGAAATGGCAGTGTTGCAGTGAACACTCACGAACATGACCCACTGCAGTAAAGTCTGGGTACCTAACCTTAAAATCTTAACATCTTAGCTCTAAACAGTTTTGCAGCTGAATCACCAGTTTTCAGACTGAAAAGTGATAAAAACAGAACCAGTCCTGCTCGGCCAATCAGCTCTCAGCCCAACGCTTCAGTAGTGATTCAGAGATTTCAGTAAGAGCATGTGTAACCCATGTAAATCCATGGTTCTACGTCATGGTGCTACGTCCCTTAGGACTTCGCTAGTGGGATATCACTCGTGACCCCCAGGTCACACGCCAGAGAGATCAAAATAATTTGCTCCAATCACCAGCCACCTTCCTCTATAAATGCCCCTGCACAAGGCCGCACCCCCCCTCTTTCACTCTGGCGCCGATTGAGATCTACCACAGTACTTACTTCCAGAGAAAAGATGTCTTCTGATGCTCGTCCGAGTTCCCCTTCGCCCTCCGGCGTCGGACGTCGTCGTTGCTCAACGTGTTGAGTCAGGCTTCAGCGCACGGACCAGCACTCCAGCTGCTTCATGTGCCTGGGCCCGGGCCATGCAGCGTTGAGCGCCACCTGCACCTCGTGTCTCGCTCTTCCCAGGGAGAAGAGCGAACGCAGGCGTGCGTACCTCGCCGCTGCAGCGCCCCGTCCGGACTCCTCTCAGGACGAGGAGTCTGAGACTGACTGGGCCCCACTCGACCTTCCACCCGTGCCCGCGGAGTAGGGTGACTGTGAGGACGGAGAGGTTTCGGAGGTCGGCTCTCTCCTCACGCTGGACGAGGTGGTGTCGAACCCGGAGCCGGACCGCTTCCCACTGGACCACATGCCTGGGCTCTACTCCTCTGCGGCGGCCATCATGGATGCCCCCCTGCCACCGCAGCCGACCCAGAGGGTGGAGGACTTCACCTCTGGTTACGCCACCACTCGAGGGAGGAGGAGGACACAGCCCAAGTTGTGCCCGCGGATGCACCCGATCGTCCATTACGCAACACGTGAGTGGCCAAAGCCCCTAGCGGCCAAGAGGCCCGCTTTGGGCTACGGAATGTACTGCAGCGTGCAGGACGCGAGCTACGAGCTCCGGTTCACTGGTTCATGCTATGCCCTCCCAGAGAGAGGTCAGGCGGAGGGATCTGGTGAGTAGTGGTGTGTGTGCTTCGGCCGAACGCGTGTTAGCATCTCTGAGCTACAAGGCTAACACGGGGTTTCCCACTCCAGGGGCTCGCCCCCCCCCTCCATGAGGCAAGAGCCAGGGGGGGGCACAGCAGCCGAGTCACGTGTGATGAGCAGTCCCGTACTTATGACGTCGGGCCTGCAGGACACGTGACCGCCCCCGGCGCTTACGGTGTGACGCAGGGGGCCCCCCGGCCCTTTCGTCCACCCCCCCTCCCCTGCTAGGAACACCAGGAGAGGGCGGGGCCGTGACGTCTCGTGTTCCAGCTCCCGTTCCGCCCCTAACAGACTTCTACAGACATCTGGAGGGAGCAAGGTTTGCTGACAGATCTATGGCTGGAGAAAACATTGCGCAGGGGTTACGCACTGCAATTCTTCCGAAAGCCACCACCATTCCGAGGCGTACGGGCAGTACGCTCTCAGGTACGGGGATCATTAGAGGCACTACAAGCGGAGGTCTCCTCTCTGTTGAGTCGAGGCGCGGCAGTGGAGGTAGACCCGCAGGACGCCACCAGGGGGCTGTACTCCCCTTACTTCTTAGTGCCAAAGAAGTCAGGCGGGGTGCGTCCCATTTTGGATCTGCGCGTGTTGAACGAGTGCATTTCCAAACGGCAGTTTCGGATGCTGTCCACAAAGCAGCTCCTCGGGTGTGTCAGGCAGGGAGATTGGATGTCCTCCATAGACCTGACAGACGCTTACTTCCACGTGCCGATAGTGCCGGAACACAGGAGGTTTCTGCGCTTCACAGTGGGAGAGAGGAATTACGAGTACTGCCGTCTCCCCTTCGGCTACGCACTCGCGCCTCGGACTTTTTCCAAGTGCGTGGAGGCAGCACTGGAGCCGCTCAGACGCGCAGGGGTAAGAATTTTAACCTACATAGACGACTGGTTAATTCTGGCCTCATCCAGGGAAGTGGCCGTGAGCCACACGCACTGGGTCCTGTCCCACATACAGCGTCTGGGCTTTGTGGTGAACAGGGAGAAAAGCAAGCTGCAGCCAGCTCAACGCATGATTTCTCGGTCTGCAGTTAGACTCTGTGACATTCCGTGCTGCATTGTCTGTGGACAGACGGATGAACATTACCCGTCTGGCCAGGGAGGTTCTGGCGGGCCCCAGAGTCCCCGCTCGGCGCCTCAGGTCCCTGCTGGGAATGATGGCGGCGGCTCATGCTGTGGTGCGGCTAGGCCTTCTCCACATGAGGAATTTTCAGAGGTGGTTCTCACGCCTCAGGCTTCACCCCTCCCGGGACGGGGGGAGGCTGATCTGGGTTCCCCAAGTGGCAGCATCGGACATCAGGTTCTGGCTCACTCCGGGTCTATTGCGGGACGGAGTGACTCTGG